ACATTTGCATTGGTCGGTGTGATAATGGATCTTTCAGTGAGGTACGATACATTATGGAACCGTTGAGCAAAGTCAGGATAGACTGTAGACGTAATCGTATGGATGGGATTTCCTGAAGAAGGAAGCAGTAATGATTCCGGAATCTCTATCCAATCAGTAGATTGGTTAGAAGGAAATGATTTTCCTGGCACATTCCCATTTCCCACAGCAAGAGTCCATTCGGTAAAGGGCATGCCACCAAAAGTTGACCTTTGACTCTCCCGGGAAGCAACCACGCGCATATTTTCAGTTAAGTGCAACACAGTGCAATGTTGCCACAAAAAGGAACAGGTCAGAGATGAATCAATACTCTCTTCTCTGCCAGCATCAGCTACTATTGGAAGCGTTTGACGAAAATCGCCTCCAAGAAGAACAACTTTGCCACCAAACGGTTTATAGTGTGCACCACTAAACGGAACATCCATAATATCACAAAAAGCTCTGTTTACTGCCTCAAAAGACAATCTGTGAACCATTGGGGCTTCATCCCATATTATAAGCGATGCATTAATGATCAATTGAGCCAATGGCGTACCTTTCTTGATATTACATGAAGAACCATGATCGATTTCCAGTGGTATTTTAAACCGAGAGTGAGCTGTACTTGCATCAGGAAGTAATGTTGCTGCAATTCCTGAAGAAGCAACTACCAAAACTATTTTTCCAGCTTCTTTAAGTTGCGCAAGAATAGTTTTGTAGAGAAAAGTCTTGCCTGTTCCTCCATGACCATACAGAAAGTAGAATGTAGGCGAGTCTTCTGTTGGAGACATAACAGATTCCATTACACAATGAAAAGCTTCAAGTTGCTTTCTGTTAAGATCACCAACTACAGGAGGTGGGGAATCCACAGCAGCTAAAGTACCAGGATGTGAATCAGTTCCAAACTGAAGCAAGGGATCAGTTTGTGGGTGATCATCTGTTGGCAAGGGAAGGTTAAAATGAGATAACGTGGCTGAATAAGCATGTAACATGTGCTGCAATTCCCACAACAATTTATTTTTGGGCAATTCAGTTGGTATGAGGTTGTTGTTGAAGCAAACGTCTCGTTGGCACCTATATGTGATGTCTTCGCAAAGCAATTCCCATGTCTGATTGAAAAGCTGCAGTGGGTTTGATAGTTCACAGAACATCAGCATGGACACAAAGAGGTATCGTAACAAGCGGCACATGCCCCATTGGCTGACTTCTTTAATCACAAGTAACCATTCATCATCGTTAGACAAAAGACCAAGGCGCTGGCACGCATCTTGATATGTTCTACATGGGAATCCATGGACTGTCCGAAGATCTGCATAACTAACTGACCCACGAACTTTGGTAAGAAGTTGTCTGAGATAAAATGTATCACCACAACCTGGATGGATATAGACAATTCTTCCAATTGAGAACCCTCTTTTCCGCGGAGCCCATTTTTTTGTTTTCGCATTCCATATATAACGATTCGGAGTCTCGGCATAAAGTAGATCCCTTGCAGTTGGATCTCGTTGGTTAAGGGAAAACCATTGTGTCAATGTTGTCTCTGAAACAGAATCGCGGGCAAGTATTCGAGACAGCCGTTGTTTCTTCCTATAAGGAACATAATGTCTCCCTTCAAGATGAACGCACAACCGCTGAACCGGCGGTGTTCGTTCATGAACAGGGAATTCAAAGATCCGCCACGCTGCCTCATATGAAGACAGACTTCTACAATCAAGAAACTGTTTAATTTCGTCCAATGGAGGGATATGGTTTGGGGTAGCAGAATCAGACACAGACAAGCCAGCAGTTTCAGCAAGAACCATGGATCTATCAGGCCCTTTTGTAATGTACTTAAACAAATATTTAATCAAGCGGCCTTGATGACAGACCTCGACATTGATATGAGCTTGAAACAGCACAAGTAAATTCCGATTATATGGAACGATAAACCGGTTGTCTAGTATAGCTGTACCTTTCACTGCTGTTATACCTGTATCGCGACGGCGATAAACTGTATAGCCAAACTGGTCCGTTGTAGTTTCTGAATTAAACGGTTTTGGAAAATACTTTGAACACGATCCTTCTTTCATACAAACATTGGTCGGATTATCTTGACCACACGGACCATGCAGCATAAACTTTGTCACAGCATCATACCCAATTGGATCTAGTAATGGATCTGGCAGTTCAGCACTAACAGTTGCATCAATATCAGAAGCTTGTCGTAGCTTATTCTTTGCATCCAACCATAAAAGTATATGAACATGGGGCAAACCCCGTTTCTGAAACTCAACGGTTTTGATACCTGGAATTATAAGGCAACGAAATGTGTCATTTATGCTAGAGCACAAAACATGAGGTAAGTGAGGAAGTTTAGAGTAACAGGAAAAGGAGAATTGATAACATGCAATTGTAAAAGGAAGTAAGACAGAAGGCAACCGAACAAACCTGCCACTGTTTGACCAAAAAAATGGCCTCGTGTTAATTCATCTTCCAGTGCATTCAGTTTCATGCGAAAGACCCTAGCAACAATCTCTGGTTTTAGTTCGCTGCGTGCACCACAGACAGTGCGGAAAGATTCTGTTATTTCTGGCCACTGGGAGTTGCACGTAAAGGTTATGAATAGGTCGGGGCTGCCATGATGGTGGACAACAGCCATTGCATCTAAGTATAGTTGCTTCATATACCTAGGACTTCCAGTATGCGATGATGGCAGAACAACATGGCCAACAGCATCTCCTGTAACATCACCTCTGTTGAAAGCATCTGTAAGGCCATAGTATAGTTCAGAACGGAGGTTTTCTTGATGCGATCGCAAATAATAGAGTCGGTTTTGTTCAATTGTGGAATATGCATCAACCACGTAATGTTGAAGTGCCTTCCCACCTCGCATCAATGTCTGACCTTCGTCGTCTCTGTGCTGAAGCCGGTAAGCATAGTACTCTCTCTGAGTCACATGTTTCCTTTTCAATGTTTTGGGAGTATGAACAGGATCATACGGTATGGTTACATGGAATCCATCTTCTCCGTATGGGAAAAGGACTGGAAAATGCAAAGCATCAAACTTCGGGTGTACACTTGTGATCCTCTTCAGGCCCTCTGACCGATGATCAATAATGATGTCTCGTTCTTCCTTATCAGGCAAGAAATCACCAGGAATGAGTCCAGCCAATTCTGAACCAGTTGGAAGTTCATATTGTCGAGATGTTGTGTCCCGTGCACCAACAATACGCAGTCTTAAATTGATTAATGCTGGATCATTCAATTCAGATTGAATGCGTCTAAAAGACTTAACTAATTCATTTGTCACGTCAAACAGCTTCATTAAACCAGAAACAATATCAGGACGCAGGGACCTTTCAGCAGAAGAGAAATTGGAGAGTCGATCTGCTAGTTCGGTCTGCGGGTCAAAGACGTATAGCTGAGAATATTTAGGTCTCTGGCCTGCAGCAGGAAGCAAAGATCCCATTCGATGATAATTTTCTCCGCATATCACAAATGAATAAGGTCCTCGTGAACGTGTAACTCTCGGATCAAGGCGTGCTCCAAAAGATGTGAAAGAAAAAGCAGCATTATAGGAGCGTATATGTTCCCTGAAGTGCGCTGCCATAGGACCGGCATTAACACCCAAGAGGTCTTCAAGGTACTGAGGAGTTTCCTGTAGGAATGGGAGGCGTACTCGTCCCTTTTGACAACAAAGCGTGAAAACAGGAGCAAGAGATGCATGCCTGTTAAGCCGCTCTTCATACCAGAACCGTGCACCACAGTATTGGCATTCACAGTCAGGGAAACCATGATCGATAATTCGACTGAAGTCTGATTGTTGTGAAGGTGGTAGAGTCACATCAGGCAACGAACAATCACCATCCAACGCAACAGGAGGCTGAGTCTGCGAACTGGCTGTTAAGTCTTCAGGAGTTCTTAAGTCCAGTTCGGATGAGTCAAGTTCACCTTCTGAATCAAGCAGTGGGTGCAAGCGTCCCCGTCTATCAAAGTTGCACGCACGGCGCCTCACAGAACTTCTCGAAGGAGGCGTGGTAGGCACAAAGTCAGTGGAAAGACCAATATGACGACGCTTCCTATGCGCAGAACGACCGGGGAACAGGAGTGCAGCCTGTCTGGGAGTGGCCTGAGATCACACACTGACGTTACAAAAAAAACAAAGACCTGCAAACTATGGCACAAGCGTAGCATGGTACAGGAAACAATGGTAAACGTAGCAAGATAAAAGTAATAAATTGACCAAACTAACCATGCCACGCCTTCTAAACGGGTACAGTGGAATAACAAAACTGGCAGAATTGCAGAGGAAGGCAGATACCAGGTAATGGTATAGCAGATGCAGCAGAGAGTTGCATTCAATGACCAACAGCAAAGACAAAATGAGCAAAAAGGAGCAGTAATGGGGAAGCAGTTATGGAAGAAGACAGTCTACAGGTAAACGATGTTTCCAGGGAAAAATATCCTTCTTAAGAAAATGTATAATAATACAACATGCACCATAGCAGGCTAGTCTAGAGAAGTGAGAAGTAATAAAGCCATCATTAGTGAACAGCCTAGTCAGAATAATAAATGCATGATGGCAATTAATAGAAGAGAAATAAGTTTATAATGTGGGTCTATGGAAGCTAATAAACAAAGGCATGGTATTAGTGGACAATCAAAATATCTAGTTACTGTGTGGCTGGTAGGACACCACCTAAATACCCTGCAACCGAAAAAATGTGTGCACAATTTGGTCCTCAAAGCGGCCATTTACAATAGGCAATGGCCACCTGCGAATACAGAGCAAAACAAGTGACTAACGAAGAGGACACAGGCGCGATGCGAATGCGGTCTAAACGGCGAATTTGCGCGCAACAAATGAAGATACAAAGTACAACAGATCCTTAGCACAAAATAAAGATCAGTTGCAGAGTGGCGCAATACTATGCCACTTAAAGGAGTCCATGCCCAAATGGTGTTTTATATTAACGACATAGACCTGGTTAGAAAGCAGGTACGCAGGGGTAATCTGTACCAAGAGGTAACCAATACAAGTCAAATGTCATAGCAGAGCAGATTGATAACAGTGGTGCCAGTAATGGAACACCACAGGTGTGCCAAATGTTGCAACATTCAGACAAAAAGGCAAGAGTACAGAATGTACAGACACGATAAATAGTGTTCCCCTTAAACAGTTCTACAAAAGGAAGGGAGGGACAGTACTGGACAAACATGGTACATTAGCACGCGCATGGTGCGAATCACGGTTAATCAGCAAACAGTTGCTTCTTAGCAGGTTCCTTAGCAGACGATTTTGGAGTTCTTGGCTTTCTCTTAGAAGCATCCACAGATGCTTCAATGGCCTTTGTAGACGGTGTTCTGATTCGCTTTGCCCTCCCAGAATTAGTTTTCCCCACTGAAAGTAGCGGAACTTCTTGGACAGCAAGAAGAGGAGAAGGCAAAGGAACGTCAACAGTGGGAACAGGATAAGTCGAAGAGTTTCCAACAGGCTGTTCTTGCAGTGGAAGTTCAACATCCAAGTCTTGCAGTTCCAAAGGGACAACAGGTTCGTCTTCATCAGAATAAACAACCAAGCGACGGCGCCGTACAGGTGCAGGATTTATAGACATAGGTTGCCTAGAAAAGGAAACAGAGGAAGTAGGTCTTTAACAACACATCTATATGGGAAAACATGCACATTCCTATGCAATGCGGCAGCAACTTGTAAATCAAGAATAAGACAATGCCTAACAACAAAGAACAAACTGCACAAGGGATCTCCATAAAGTGAAGACGATTATTACTTCAATCTGTGGGAAAACAATTGATTTGAAGCTGACCAAGTAAGCAAAAGCTACAACTATTTGTTTATTTTGTTCTGTATTTTAAAAAAGGTAACACATTCGTAGATAATTAGTATGGCACTGAGAGGTAACATTGTGCGTTTGCAAACTGTAAACACGTGTAAGTTAGCGAAGGTCGAAGAAAGGGGTACAAAAGGCCATCCATCGGCTATTGTACTTTATGTTAACGACATAGAACCATGTATAAAAGCACAAGACCAAGGTAAATGTAAAAGCATTGTTTACAGTTCTTCCCCGTCAAAAATAAGTATTTTGTGCAGGCTGGAAACCATCTTTGATCAGTTTTAAAAGGGCACAAAAATCATGCAAACTGGAATCTTAGGGAGCAGACAACACTGGCAGGAAGATAATTAGGACGACACATACTGTGACAAAGGCTGAATTGTTGTTGTCTGCAAATTGACACCGAGGGCATTAAGATTTCCAGAGACAGGATTCGCCGATTCGGTTGGCAAAGGATGTCCAACAGGGATCTGAAGGGACGCTATCGGAACATCGGTTTCTTCAAGAGTAACTGTAGGACGACGCGCAGCACCTGCAGCACCAGTTTTCCTGCAAAAGTAAAACAAAGTTGTAGAAGGTAAGGCCAGTAAATCGAAGTACACTGCAGGATACTATGATAAACACAAGGATTCCAAGAGGCAATAGTGGCGTATGCACAGTTAACAACCAAGTAAGTGGTAAAACGAAAGAACACTGGGAAATGGGTAGGGAGCAGGGCACATTTTTTTAAGAGAGTGCACAACAACCAAGTAAATTGCCAGTACGCAAGCAGAAGCAAGGTAAATAGGAACTGAAGACCTAATGTAGGATATGGTAAATTTGGTACAAGAAACATAGCAAGTAATAAAGGGCAGAGAGACTTCTTCTTAGCAGATGGTTTCTTCGGCTTCGCTTTCTTTGAACTGATGTTCTTGTTCTGCACATTAGCATCTGTAGTGTCCGCAGCAAGTTCCCTGATACAGAGCTGCTCAGCAAGGAAAGAAGAGACAATAAAAGCTAGTAAGTAAGTTAACAGTAGGGAAAGTACTGTGGGGTTCGCTGTGGTGCAGTTTCTGGGGGCACTTCCTCACTTCTAGGCCTACGAAACAGTAAATTCGGGTGTGCAAGAGACAGTGACAAATATCAGCAGGCGTAAAGTCGAACGATTGAGGTAATACAGGAAAAGGCAAGAAACTGACCGCGCATAGGAAACAATCTCAGTACGACTAAGTTCGGGAGAAGAAGGTACGGAACTGATGTTTAAAAGAAACATGTCAGGAAACGACTTAAGAACGTGTATAAGCAGAACTAAGCTAGCAAAGCAGACAACAAACAGACAACCTTCCTAATGCAGCAGATGAGGGCGAAGATACAGCAGCGATGCGGCTACTGGAAATTGATGGTAAACAACGCATGGGAAAGAAATGTCAACACATTGGGAAGAGTACGACAGCGTCCAAAGGAGCGCTGTCAATTTTGTAAAGCAAAGTGAATTTTAGAAACAACCTGCTATAGGGGCGACGTGGAGGAGTAGAAAATGCAAGCTGAGAACTCCCACTGCAAATTTAAGAAGAAACCCGAGTTCAAGACAAAGAACAATCAGGGAAAAGAGGGCATGTAAAATGGAAGCATAACCTCGGTGAAGCAACAGAAGGACCATGGTCTACCGAAGCGCTCGGCATTGTTGGAACAACATATGGAGAAGCAAGAGGCATCTTGTGAGGACTGCAACGGAAAGCAGCGATTAGTAATGGACAAAAGGAAAACGTGCCACAAAAGTCAGGACATTTAAATACCTGTTAGGAGGTGGTGTATGGGACATAGCATTTCTTGCCCGGCGACCAAGAGCTGGTGAGCAGGAATTTGGTTGTTCTTGTTCAGTGACAGCAAGGACCGTGAACTCTGGGGGGCCACGAGACCCATATTCCGGTTTTGGAAGCTGGACGTCAAAAGTAAAGTCTCGCCCTTCAAGAGCCAGGAGTTCTTGTGGCAAAACATTGCGCTGGTAAGGAAACCTGGTAGAGAGATCGTTAGCAGTCAAGCCCACAAGAAGGTCAGCGGCCCTACCCAGCAGAACAAAAGCTGCTGATCCAGTGTTGTCATCAACTGTTACCCGGAGCTTGTAACTGCACAAAACACGTACAGGAGCATGTAAGGACACGAGAAAAGGCAAAAGGTATGGGGCAAGAATGAAGAAAGGAATTACAAGTTCTGTGTTTGTTGAGGCACCAATCGACGGTGGTCATCACACCATTTGTCAACACCATCATAATCTATGGCTGCTTTGGAACAAAGCGCACAACCCAAGTAATACCACTGCATAGAAGAATCAACCGAGACGATCCGACCAGAGCAATGGTAACGCGTAGACTACACAAAAGGAAACGGAAGAAACGATTAGACGGACAAACAAATGAAGTGAAAGGAACAGAAGCAGGTAAGCAGGAGAGCAAAAGGGGAAGGAACATACATCGGCAGCAGGTGGAAAACACAAGGCAAGGAGCTGTGCTACAGTCTTCGTACATTCAGCTTCAAAAGCCGCTGCCTCATTAGGAGTTGCAAACCTCGGAGGGTAATATTGACATGTATTAGTGCTGGCAAAGAACCTAGCGAAAGCAAAAGCAAGGAACGCAACAAATTAGCAGGAACAAAAAGACAACTGACGATGCTGAGGGAAAAAAAAATATGATAAGGATAAGAAGAGGCATACACAGATTGGACCAGGTGAGCCATTTCAGAAACAGGGTTGAGAACACAACGTGTGCCTGGAGTACTGGTAAGAGAGTAACCTCCTACAAAAGGGGTAAAGTTAATGAGGAAAAGAGGAAGGGAAATGAAAGGGAGAATCCTGCGGCGGTAAGGTATATGGAGACCTTTCGTAGCGCCAGTGACCCGAAGTGAGGAAACAGCTAGCATAACTGGCCCAGAACGACCAAGGACAGCCAGTTCCTGACCATTGAGATTCCGAGCTATCTCACTCCACAGGCTGATATCAAGAAACATGTGACTGGGCAACGAAACACCGAAAGTTAGTAACAGGTGTATTATAGTCGATAAAGAAGTGGTGTGCATGTGTAACATACTTTTCATTCTGAAGCACCAAATCACTACGCACAGTGGTACCGAATGAAGTGACGGTGCTAGAAACGCCTGTGATGCTAACAACAGCGCCAACGACATCTGACAGAGCCGCAAGCAAGAGAAGAACGCAAAGGATGTTATTCAGTACACTATAAAACGAACAGCAAGAGACGTAAAGGACACAGAATAAGACCTGTTAAATAAACCGATGAGCGTATGCGGGAATGAAGCGAACTGAACGGGGTAAATTCAAACGCATCCGGCCAGAATGAAGGCGACGAACGGGTCACGTCTTCGAACTGTGTAGCGGCAGAGAGGACGATGGTCAACTTATGAGAGCAAGAACGATACGAAGGGGACGGTGGCTTGACGCGGAAATTGCTAACGAAGTAAACGCTACCCAACTGCAGAAGCGGAGCAAAATGGCGCGTGAGTTCCGACGGAGCTGTGCCCTGAATCAAAGTACCCTGGGCAGGAAACACACGAACATCAGAGGGCTGCAAACAAAAGGGAGGCGCAAAATTGCATGGAAAAAAAAAAAACAGAAAAGCAGCGCTAACCTCCTCATCGTTCCAAAGAGTGCAGTAGTTGAAGATTAATTTAGGATTCTTCAGACCATAAGACCCCCACGCATTAAGGAGGCGCAGCTTCAGAAGAGTCTGAGGGCCATCGGAGTCGCTGAGGTCAAGAAGCAATTTATGGGTCACCATGGAAGAGCAATAGAAGAAAGCAAGATAGAAGAGGGAAAGTCTGTGAGGAGCATAAATGAAAGGTAGCAAAGCAAAACAAGACTTTTGTGGGGAAAGGAACAGATAAGGAAGCGGCAGTCCTGTCATTTCCAGGGGAAAGGTGAGGAGTCCCGAAAACCGATCAGTTGCAGAGAGAAGAGAAGTCGCTGGCGAAGCAACCCAGGCAAAAAGCATAGAGACCAGAGAGAGGAAAGCAATGATTACAAACGAAGACTCAGCTAAAATCTGGCAAAGAAAGGAAACATCAGTGCATTTTTCGTCCTCAGTAAAACCTTGGTTAATGGTTAATTACAAAAGAGAGCCACCTATGGATGTCAGTACTCAGAAGAAGGGCCAATCAGAAAGGAGAACAAGAGGCAAAAAAGCAAACCAAGTGACAGTGTTTTGATGTGACTCTAAGAAACAGTAAACTTGTAACTTGTTCTTTTAAAGAGATAATATTTTCCCTAATAATCACTTTGTCCCTTTCCAAATCACAACAGATACCAACAAAAATTTAATAATAATCAATCACAAACAGAACGGAGGATTGTTTTTAAGGGCCTGTGATTGGGCTTTAGGGTGTGCACAATATGTATGTAGCCCATATGCGACGAGGTAAGAATCCAAGAAACGAGAACGGCCATCATCGGTGATGGGCCTGATGGCAATGGAGCGGACGAGGCGGGTACCTCAATACTCATGTCTCGTCTCACACTATTAATGGGTTGGGGCGGCCTACTCTTATATGTTATTTGAAAAAAGTACACGTTTAAATTTACTTTTTATCATAAAATGAAGGGGAAAACCTTTTATGAATGAAAAATAGTGATAGTAGAATGAGTAATTGAATCTAACTAATTGAAAGATCGAGTCTAACTAGTTGAACAAAAATCAAAATACGATAAATATGAATAGATATTGTAAGAAATTGAGATATAATGGGTCAAGAACGGGCGGGTGGGACAAGACGGGTCGCAAGTAGATACCCATGCTCCGCCCGACTGCCCCACACTACTACGACCCGGATAATATCATCCAAATCGCGAGTTAGGTCGAGTAATACCTGGCGAGGTTGGTTCAAATTGCTATCACTATGTACGGGATGAATTGTGCTCTAAGGATTACTAATACGTCACTGCATCATTATATGGGCTTGGGATCTAGTTATATTGAGTACGACCAATAGGAAGAGACTATGGTGACAAGTCATGTATTATATTTATCTCCACGTTTGTTATACAACTGATAGTGGTTCGACTTTGGTTCTTGACTGCGCACAAACATGTAAATCAATCTTTTATTTCCTCTTCATGAGTGAACTATTGGGGGAAAAAGAAAATGAAGAGACATTGGTCCGTGCAATCACAAAATTGTTGGAATATATTAATAAATCAAAATGATTAGGAAATATAACAATATTTACCTGTACCAATAGCAGGCTAGCTTGTTAAAATTTCAATTCCCATAAACATACAACGGCTAATATAAGTGAATCCCATTGATAGCAATGCTTAAGTTTTCTTCTAGGATGAGGCAAATTTGTCTATGACCCCAAGAAGGATATAGCCATCAAAGGCCAACTTCAGGCCCTATAAGTTCATAGAAGGCAGTTCACACCTATAGAAGGCCTAATTGGTGAAGAATAACAACAAACGACCACATCTTACGACTCAAACGACACAAGTACACTTCACAGGAACGAAGGCTTAAACAAAATATGTAGCAAACTAGACAACTAGCTACCAAACTACACACTTTGTTGGGCCTGGACATCCAACAGAAACAAGTAATTAATGAACTTAACAAATAACTTACTACACTTAAGCCACCACTATTACGACAGTAAACAAAGTTATTCTCCTCGAGAAATAAATGAGATCAGACTCCGTCTAATTCAATCCTCAGTAGTAGCAAGCGACGGCGAGAGCGAGTTCCTCGACTCGTCGCAATCCTCCCCCAACGGCGACTGCTCCACCCGAATCTCCTCAATCATCCTCGCCACCTCCACCATCTCGGGCCTCTTCTCCGGCGCCGGTGCCACACAGGCGAGCGCCACGTGGAGCATCGACACCAGCTCCTCCTCGATGTTCTTGTACCTCAGCAGCTCCTGATCGAACACCTCCGCCGTCCACTCCTCCTTCACCACCGACCTCACCCACCTCGGCAGATCCCCTGCCCCCGCGGCCACCCCGTCCGTCACGAGTTCGTCGGGGTTTCTCCCGGTGAGGACTTCGAGGAGGAGGACGCCGAAGCTGTACACGTCGGACTTCTGGGACAGGCGTTTGGTCTCCACCTGCTCGGGAGCTCGGTACCCGCCCAGCCTGGCGACGGCGTGGACCGGGTTGAGGAGCAGGGAGAGGCCGAAATCGGCAATGCAAGCGATGCCGTTTTTGTCGAGGAGGACGTTGGATGATTTCACGTTGCCGTGGGGGATTCGAGCCGACCGGTATTCCTCGTGGATCTTGGCTAGCCCGCGGGCGGATCCGAGTACTAAGCTGATCCTCGTGGTCCAATCCAGTGGGATTCGGCCTGGTCCTCTGTTTCCTGATCAAATCGAAAACACCCAATTTGATCATCATCATCATCAACACAGTCTAGTCTGAATCTGAAGCAGAGAAAGTTGGTTTAGAGAACTACTAACCATGGAGAAGCCAGTGGAGGCTGCCATTGGGCATGAAATCGTACACCAGAAGCTTCTCTTCCTTAGCATAGTAATAAGCTCTGAACCTGACGATATTGGGATGCTTCAGCTTTCCGATCACTTCCATGTACTGCTCGAACTCCCTTCTCCCACAAGGATTCGCGTCCTTCAGCCGCTTCACGGCCACCGTCCACCCGCCGTCCAGCACTGCCTTGTACACCGTCCCCAAACTCCCCTTCCCCAGCATCTCCGCCGACGCCTTGAGCAAATCCTCCAATTCGAACGGCATGGGCTGATCCTTCCCGCCGTCATAGAACACCAGCTTGCTCCTCTCCGTGCCATCGCTCTCCGTTCCGCCGTAACTGCTCCTCCTTTTCACGCCGCCACCGCTCTCGATCTCGCTCCCCACCTTTGATGATCCCCCGTCTCCTACTCCGCCGCCACTGCCGCGGCCACAGCAGTAGGCGACCAGGAACGACGCCGCTACAAGGAATGTGACGCAGATGGCGATGATTATCGCCGCCATCGCGGCGGTGCCCAATCCTCTGTGCACCGGCCGCTGCGAAGTTTGGCTTTCCACGACGGGAGGGCTGTTCCATTGCGGAATCGTGGTTGGGTTCGAGGGCACCGTTTCGTCCCCTGGGAATCACACAGGTTAGAGATCATATACAACATTAAGTATATATATATATATAAAGTAAGGATTAATTCCTAAGAACTCCATTAACACCTGTAAATGAACACACGGGGAGCGAAGGACCGGATCCACAGAGCCCTTCGTTACCGAAGAACCCCCGGCGGCCGAATTTCTTCTCCAACCCACCGGGGACTCTTCCGTACAGCTCATTATTGGACAGATTCAGCTCTTTCAATCCGGGGATCGAACCAGAGATGTCTGGAATTCGGCCGGTGAGCGCATTGTTCTGGAGCCGAAGAGTCAACAGCTTGGTCAAATTGCCAATTTCCGGAGGGATTGAACCGGCGAGGTTGTTGTCCGACAAGTCCAAGCGGAGGATTCGGTGGAGGGAGGAGATCGACGGAGGGATCTCGCCTGAGAAGTCGTTTCCGGCAAGGTAGAGGAGCTTGAGGTTGGAGCAGTTGGTGACCGGGGAAACAGTGCCATTGAGGCGGTTGTCGTGAAGGTCGAGGAGGCGGAGCTGGTCGAGGGAGGCGAGAGAGTTGATCGGACCGCGGAGGGAGAGAGAAGGGAGGGAGAGTGAGATGACGCGGCCTTTGTCGGCAGAGCAGCCTACGCCGAGCCAGGAGCAGGGGACGTTTGAGGTGGTGGTGGTGGTCCAGTTGGAGCGGAGGTTGCCGTGGGAGTCGGTTTGGAGGCGGAAGAGCGTTAGAGCTTCCGTGTCGTTAGCCGGAGGAGCTGCGGCTGAGATGGAGAAGAAGAGGAAGAAGAAGGAAATGGAGAGTTTCGGTTTCATGGCGGCCAGGACAGGGAGAGCTCTGCGGAGTGAGGCGGGAAGGAGTGTTGAAGAAGGGAGTGGTTTTGTTTTAAAAAAAAAACACATATTTTCTTACTTTGCGATGGGAAAAAGCGGGGAAAAGAATAGGAATTAAAAAAAAAAATTGAATGCTTAGAACGTTGAAATGATTGTTTTTTTCTTCTTTTTCTTCCTTTCTTTGCCGCTCAAATGATTCAACTTTTACGGAGATGTTACCTCAAACTTCTGTGATTAACATAATTTAACGGTGGAAGGGAGGGTTTAGTATGAATTAATAAGAATGAAGGGGTTGGTGATAGCTGCAATAATTTGCCTTAACCCTTCAATTTCTCCCATCTTACAATCAACTCTTAGTTGCTTACATAAGACCACAATTCCACTTGCCCTTTGTCTATTCACACTACATTGACATGAGCTTGTGTACGTACCCCCGCTAAGAAAAACTACTTTAGTAAGTTTGGCGGACTAATTTATTATGCATTTCATGTATCGATAAATTCCATATCACCAATCACATATGCTAAAATAAGAACATGCAATCTCCATTCTACCTAAAAATATATATAAGGCATCAGGACTCTTGGTTAAGTTAATAATGACAACTGAATTGACTTATTGCACCAATTAATCATCCTGTTGCCATGTGTTGCTTTTGTGTCATTTAACTCTATTGTTTGGTATTGTAAAAAAAAAAAAAAACTCTATTGTTTGGTAAATATAAATGATATGGAGGGGGGAGCGGAGTGGGGAAAGGCTTATTAGTTGGCTAGTGATGATGATGGATAAGGGCAATTGATTAAAGAAGGGAGTGGGGAGGAAAAAGTTCATAATTACAAAAATGGGGGGTGAGGGGTTGGATTATAATAAAATTGGGGAGGTAAAAGGGAGGGAAATCTGCATGATTAAAGAGAAGACATGTACAATAGGGGGATATGGTTGCTACTTGCTAGAATGATTGCTGTTCTCCACTTTGCTATTTGTAACTTTTCCCATTCCGCATGATAATAAGTGAGAAATTGGACAACCCCTTTTTACTATTCAACCTTTGTTCATCAATTTTCCCCTCTCCTTCTTGCCTATGCTTTCTGTTATAACTTATAACCATCAATCATGCCATGCATTGGTCTTCCTAATTCTAGAGTATTTATACACTATAAGCTTCCCACACAATAATTTTTGAATGAGTTTTTCAATTCATTAATTACTCAATTATATTTGAATAATGACATTCTTCAATAATACTACGATTCTTATATAAATATTTGTCTAACCACAATTTATCGACATAATTCATGTGCTTTCTACCTCCTATACATTCTCTTGCATTTCCGCATACCCATATTAACCTACGGTTAAAATCCTAACAAACAATTAATTCATTACCTCCTGCTTCTCTAGCTAACCCTTCTAGCTAGTACTTTTCATTTTTATTGGAGCTTGTGCTTTCTTTAGAGCTACTGAGCTAACATTCCTTTTATATTTTCTTCAAGTCTTACAAGATCCGAGGTCTTCAATCGGATCCAAGGCATGGATGTAACATTTACTCTCGTGTATTAGTTAAATTACATGGTAAGTATTTCTGCTAGATTATACTATTTAACTCGTTTGACCCTTGACAATTGACATATTAGGATAGCCAGATCATGTCAAAGTTGTTATCTGTCTAGATACTCAGCTTTGCTTTCTTACCTATATTTATAAATAAAAAATTGAAAGGGAAAAACAAAGGGGGGAAAAGTGAAAGGGAAAAGAAGAAAAATGGATAGAAGAGGAGAAAGGAAATGCATAACATAATGATTAGAGGCAATGGTCCCCCTTCATTCTAATATTATGGCATGCAAGGCTCTCCCAACTTTAAGTCATGAGGAAGCAAAAGGCAAAAAGCTGCTTGCTTTGCCGTTGCCAATGAAGTGAATGATCACCTCCCTCCCCCCAACCATCCTTAGTCTGTCTTCCCTATTTTGGTGATTACTTAATATTATCATACCACGGCCATGACTACTGAAACTATGGCTCATCAGTGGCTAATTAATACTCGAAATGTACGGGTTGAAATGCTCACCTAGGGAGAAGAAGCTAGCACCAAACTACTGCTTCAGCTCCAAGCTTGATTGAGCAGGGTGGGCATGACGCCATGACCCGATCCAGAATCGAATCTGATCCAATACAAATGAAAGAAATACAAACCAAAGCTGGTAAGTTATCTTGGGTAGCCATAAAAATTTGCAATTTCAGAAACTGAAAACTTTAATCCCTCTAGTCTCCTATCACTTTGCTTCTTCCACCACAGTTCTTTATTTCCCTCCCCCGACAAGTACAAAGTGTCAAATAGAAGCAATCCAGCCTCCTAAGCTTTTTCTTCTGTGCATTTCTTTATGCATGCATTGTGCACAGTGGTGGAACAAGGGTAAGAGGAAAAGGAAAATGAGGGGGGGAAACAGAAAAGCATGGAAGAAGTGAATTTTGGTAACATGGAAATGGGGCATGGTTGTTGTGTGGGTGGAAGGCAATTTTTTGGTACCAACTTTCACAGTAAAACGATAACCAGATTCCTATGGGTGGGTTGTCTCTCTAAAGTGATGGACTTTGGAGAGTAAAATGAACAGTCATAATAATACCAAAGGACCAATCAGGAAGGGAAAAGTGATAAAGGGGGCTGAATGGAAAACGACATGAAATTGGTGGCGGGAATGGCGGTCAAAAATTTCTCTCTTATCAGTTTTCTTTTTCTTTTTTTCTTGTCGGTCACTCAACAGGACAGAAAGGCTAAATGAGTTGACACGTTAAATAAACTCTTTTAGAAGCTTCCCTCTCGACTCCTTAACGAAATCCAGACACGGGCTAAAAGTGCATTAGTAATTTATTATACAGTGTACTTCAGTCTCCCACAGGGGATTATACAGAGACAGAATCCTAACATTTCCAGCTACAGAGATGGGGGAGGAATGGAGGAGCCGCATTGAAGCAGTAATATTTGAAGATTTTCGCTGGTGCTTGTTTGGCAGATGAATGCAAAAGGGTAAGGCACATGCGAAAATTGGAATCCATAATATATTTGCTCACATGGGAAGGGGAAATAGTGGGGGAATAATGGGGGATTAATCACAGTAGATTATGGAAATGAAAAGGATGCACAATCAAAGATCTAGGTCTTTAAAATGAAATTTGACTGTCTGCGTAGACGTAAATATTATGATTACACCTACTCAAATTAGATGTATTCGTTTCACCCAGACACAATTATACAATCAAGTTGGATCGCCTTAAAACAATCATCCCATTAAGGACATCTTAAAATCTATCTAGAGGACAGTTACCTCTGGCACATTAGACCAAGTATTTAACCAGTCAGATTAGGCGGGGAACTTCTATATAGAGGACAGCTGGTAACTAAGAATTATCAAAATGCATGAAATTCGATTGATTTTGGAAGATAACATTATATTATAATTTCGTGTAACGCTTAATATCATCTAAGATAAGCATGAACTACGATCACGATGAGACATTTGAAATAAATTAAAAACAGATCTTTGAGAAGTATCTTACCGGCCTGGCCATTGGCCAACCTAGGTTGGGCTGGTTACAACCGCTCTCTTCTGTCTTAATGGCGATTGGAACAGTTTCTGCAGCACAAGGAATAGGACATAGGGTACGAGGTTACACGGAAATCTGACATGTCTGAAGAACAAACAGCAACGTAAGATAAGAGGTGTGTAAGCCAAACATCAAATTCTCGTCGCCTCCAACACTTGCCTATTTCACGCTAGCTAGCCGCACCTATAGCTAATAGGGAAGGTCCCGTAGCCCACCAAACCTATCCTGCAAGCAACATGCAAAACCAGATTAACATACCAGCCCTTGGGCAAAATCTGAAAACATTTGTGAAACAATTGCCAATTTTCACGGTATCGGTGGCTAAGGTTCATGCATCTCATCTCACAGCCATGTTAATGCAGAAAGAAAAACATGACACACAAAGGGAAACCAGGACATTGCATCTGCATGGGGGTTTGACCTCACGGGAAAAATATCAAACATGGAGAAAAAAAAAAAGAACTTTGCATTGCGTGTAGAAATGAGACATGAATGATCCTTTCTTGTCGAGGGTAGATAAATAGGCATGGCCTCTCTTCTAAAGGGTTCATTCAACATTCTAAAGCAACTTTCGAAATGGCTTTCTCGGTAAAGGGATTAGAGTGTGGTGGGATTTGCAAGATAATGAAGCTAAGGAAGATTTTTACCGACGTGTGCCAGAAGCATAAGCTTCCACGGGATGTGCCTCCTGGTCATTTGCCAGTGATGGTAGGGAAAGCTGGGAAGAGGATCGTCATAAGAGCAGATCATTTGAACCATCCAGTTCTCAGGCAGCTGCTGGACCAAGCGTACGAGGAGAATGGCTGGAATAACGACGGACTGTTGGCCATACCTTGCGATGAGCCTTCTTTTCGAGATATAATCCACTCGCTTACGGTTGGGGACGAGATATCCAGTTCTCGCACCAGACACCAGAGAAATCCAGGGGTCCAGATTTCAGACGGATTGGAGGCCTCTCCTTCATGATTCCAGTAAAAAAGGTGCCAATTTTCCTCCTGGAAGAGAGTAAGAAACTCAACGTCAGGTTGAATTTAGCAAACAAGTCTGGAAAAACGGGCATTTATGTTTAGCAGGATAAACTCTCTCCCACTATACACGACCTTCCCCTTGAATATGCAATGAGCATGTAGAAAACAAACTCAAGAATGCATGTGGGAAACAAAACGAGCTGTTAGAAGTTGGTATGTTCAGAAATTTCAACAGCTGAAGGTTCTGTGAAGACACTTTGTCAACATCTTTCGCATGCTGTGTATTACTAGAAAACATTATTTTGATTCAGTAGACAGAATCTTCCAAGGACTATAGTGAACCAATACATCGAAAGCAGTGTTAAGGAATGAAACTGATCCTGATGTTCATGTTTGTACAAGTGGACAGAGTGTTTTGAGCACTGGTATTTTCCACGGTAGAACTAAAATGCATTACTTCATATATTTCAAATGAGGACTACTTTCACCTAGCCATTATCACTTTAGCATATAGTTTCATAGGAATACCCGATTTGCAGCAGAACACAAATGAGGGATATGCCCACGGACATCCTTATTCTAAGAGGTTCCAAACCTTGTCAAGTATTCCACTAGACTAAAATATTTGTTTACCAAGCACACAGAACTTAATTATATTTATATCTAGTGACAACGTAAAGCAACTTACCTGGAGCGAGTTTTCAAAGGGAAGGGTGAGAAATTCAACTGTTGCAAACCACTCGACAAGTTTAAGCATGTACGATTAGCCTCTCCTCTGCGAAATATCAGCGTTGTCAAACCGAAGCAGCCATACCAACAATGCAGACCTTAGCTTGGTCCAGGGCAGGAAGGTTCAACATTGAACGTTTATTAGCACCTTTATTACTGAAATATTTGAGCACCAGAGCAAAAACTTCAAGCATCATATATAAAAGAGTTTGCCTTCATTTTCCATTTTAGGGTGATACAATAACCAACTTCAACTTCCTCGTCCTGAGATATTCATGATGATGGTGATTGAAGATGGAGGCAGCCGCTATGTTAGTATACTCGTCAGACTCTAGCTCCACTAGGCTGAGGGCTAATCGAAACATAGTGCAGAAGACCACCTTCATTACCATGGTATTAGGAAGCAGCAGCATATATCGGATCACTCTATCAAACACTTTGATTTCTTTGTAACCCAGGAAATAATCCCCAAGACTAGTCGAAAGTCAATTGCTCCAACAAGGACATGGCAGGATCCAAGAGACAGAAGCTGGCTTACAATGTTCCTAATTTGAAACCCAATTTGGAGCGATGCCTCTTTAAACGAAGGACTGGTACATCGATCTTGCCACAAGCATGTCCACCTCCTGAAGAGGATACTGGTTTCAGCGATGGGTACAGGGTCGAGGAAGGAGATAATGTGATGCAGACTGGTCCCAGAACATGCCTCAGTCTATCGAATCCTTCAACAACAACAACATTCCTCTTTAACCTTCCAGCTGCTCCCATAATCCTCCTCTCCAAACTTCTGAACCCTACACCACCAATCGCCCTGGAAAAGAAAAGGAAGGCTTATCTGTCAGTTAATTGAGGTTATGACCAATACAAAAACAAACGAGCAGGGTGCATGGGCGCGCATCCTCGTACCAATATGAATTATCCTTCAAGTTCGTTCGCTCTACTTGATGAAGACCGTTTCCCCGTACGGAGGCGGAGCAGTTCTCTGTCAGCTCCGGCCGGCGCGCCGCGTGTTGTGTTTTTGCAAGGTGTGAGATGGAATACGAGCGGGGAAGAGAGGAAGGCGGAGGAAACTCAGGCGATCAAGAAATCACACGCCTGAAAATTGGGAAAACGGCGGTAAAAGGTCAGAAAACGCCAGGGAAAAGCGCGAAAAGGAAGGCCGAAACGGCGAAACGCGAAACGTTTCGGACCCTCAAAACCAAAATCGAAACGCGAGAAATTGACGAGAAATTGAAATTGACGATAAATTGACGAGAACTTGAAATTGGCGATATTTCGCGATATGGCAATAAATCGCGATATTTTCACGGTATTTTGGGTTTCCACGATATTTTGAATTCCCCAGGAAAACTCAGCCGGTGAATAGCTAAGAAACAGAAAATTACAGGGTAAAACTTCCCAAACAGAATCATAAGAATCGAAAATATTGTGCCGACGCATTTTGGGAAAGAAAACAATACATTAGGAAGAATTTCATCGCTACAAATTGAACTGAAAATAAGAAAACCAGAAGGGAAACAGATACCTCACCTGCCGGCGATCCTTAACGACGCAGACTGCTGACGACGACGGACAAGTAGCTATTGCGGCTGCAGATTTCGAGAGAGAACTCAGAAATTGATCGATATCGATTCATCAATATTCAGTCATCATGGTGTATTGAGCAGCATGCAAACAAGCACAGATTTCAATTTTCACGTACTAACAAAGCTTGATTACCATGCAATTATGATGAATGCCGCCTATCATTTTTTTTTCTTCAATAATGGAGATCCTGTCAAGGACATGGGTATCCAAGAGGTTCCAAACTTTGGCAAGAATTCCACTCGAAAGGGTATGAAACGTTTGTTTTGAAGCCATGCGTCGTGCTTTGAGCATCTTTCTGTCACTGAAGAGCTGGAAGAGCGCTTCTTGAAGTTCTTCCTTTCCAGACACCTGAAAAAGTGAAACAGGACAAAAACAGTCCACTTAAGGAACTAAAATGGTAGCACTGAGAAGGCTATGAATGGACCAGAGAAGTGAAGGGGGCATCGAAAACCTGCACAACTGAAAGAGGATCCAGTCGTTGCATTTCATTTATCATGTGTGAGAAGTGTCCGACATGAACACCTGAAAGCAAAAGGATAGTATTGGGTTTTAGAAAGCATGGCATGAAGTCTGTATAGAGCAGGAAAGAGAGGGGTCAAGAGAGAGAGAAGAACAATGACCAGTTAAAACAGCACAGCCAGCTGCGGCAGCTTCGGATATGTTGTGGCCAGCGAAACCAGGACAGAAGGAACCTCCAACTAAAGCTATTGGAGTTAGGCTATATAGATGCCTCAATTCACCTATTGAAGAAGTTTGAGAAAACGATTTAAGAACATTATGGAGAACATGAAAAATGGAACTTGGGAGAGTTTAGAAGCAAACCTAAAGTGTCGACCACGTACACGAGTCCTCTAGCCGTGATCTTTTGTTTTCGAGACCTCAAGGCTACATGAAGTCCTTCTTTCTGCAATTCCTGCACATTTTCAAAACAAAACAAAACATTAAACGAGAAATTACTTGAGTTTATAATCAAACCAGTTTCACTAGAATCAGAATATGAAATCAAGACATCAAGTTCCTTCGATCCAAAGGATATCACGTTTTCCAATCTTACTATTTAGCTGTCAAGATGCTCGCATGTGGGTATATGCATGTGTCATGCTGCAAGATGTCTGCAATATGAACTAGTTGGAACATAAATGACAGAAATAGAAACAACCAACCATGGTGGCCTATCATCAATATGTGTCGACTGGGCTAAACAACTTGCTCATCAGGCCATTGTCTACATGCTCTTAAGGCAACAATCATGAACAACGCCTCTATTTATCTTTTAAATGGCGATCAATGCAACATTAGGAGATGTCTTCTACAACAGGTCTAACTCCTAAGTCCAGACATTTGAGTTAGATCAGACTTATCAGACGGCATCAATTTACCAGGGGGGAATACAACAAGCATATGCATTAATATAGTTTAGACTCGAAACACCTAGCTTAGGGAAGAAAGATGGAACTGGAACTGGAACTGGAACTGAAGTTCATACTTCAACAATATGGTGGGCAAGCTGTAGGTGGCGAGGGACAATAATAGTCACCAAGTCGGGATACCTTCGCACTAACAATCTGTGAACTGCTAAGATTACTGAAAAATGGCAGTAGTGAGTGCTTAGAAATCCACAATAACTTAGGGCCACCAATACAAACAAAAGTAAATGAAATTTTTGGCATTTTGTAGTGGAAATATTCTATGCCATGCGCCATCAAGCTGTAAGATAGACTCAGAGTTACACTGTAATGAAAAAGACGTGACACATAGATAGACCAAGTCAGAAACCAGTGCAGCTTGGAACACACCTTGTTCTTCATCTCTATGAACTGATGCAGCCATCCATACATGCCTATCAGAGAGCTGCTCCTTCAAATCTTCAGTGCTTGCTATATTCCTCTTGCACATGTCATGTTCCACCACTGAAATAGAAATACCCTCACCTAAGAAAAAATCAGATATCTAGTTCTCAGCCATGGGCAAAATCTATACTTATGCCTCACAAGAACCAATATTGTGATGTGTGTGACCATTGACCAAACACAAAAAAAAAAATAGTAACCATACCTGTCAATCTTCATTTTTAGAGGAAGAACAATACCACGTTACTAGAGGATAACTGTAATAAACATACCATATTTCAAATCACCAGCGAAATTTATGATTGAAGGTGGAGCTTGCAGAAGCTGGAAGTGTATTGCCTGAGTGGTACTCTATAAAAAAGGACACTGTCAGCATCAAGCACACCACAATGATAAAAGAAAAGAAGACACAATAGCCCGAGAATGTACCAATGGGATAATCAAAGCAAACTTGGATAGCATTAATGATATCAATGGAAGCGCCCATGCTGACCAAAATTTGAAGGACTTCACAGACATCCGAGCATTCAATAATGTAAGTGGAATCTGCAACATCATTCAATGGCGATAAGTCACTCCAACAAGGCATATAATCATGCATATTGCACAACCCCGCAAAAAAAGCTATCCCCTAAGGAAGCAGAACGATGAATAGCTTTCATTCATGAATTTCTCCCTCCTAATCTTTCACTTAAACTCCTCCAAAGTCCAAGCAAAGCCTAATTCACAATCCCAGTCAACTACCAATTCAATGTTGGAATACTTGATAAGTGAAACAATTACTATATCATAATTCACAGGGAAGAACCATGGCCTATGATGCACATGGATGGATAACTCATAACTTACACCCTTAGTTGAAGATACCATGATCAGATTCGGCCAAAGCTCACTCTCCAATAAGATAACTGCACTTGGCTTCCAGTAGCAAAGGAAAGCATCAATGACGGCCGGGGTATCCACAGGACAAAACTGGTTCAATCGGAAAAGGCTAGAATTACTACCAATTTCACAGCACATACGGAGAATTCATAACTGCAGAAACATTAACTACTCAACCACTGAGGAATCAAGTAGTGAGGACGGGCGAATGAACCTGGTGTAGAACGCCACTCGGAAGATCATTCTCGAGCACCTTACTGCAGCAAGCAAACAAAACGAATGAAATCCTCACCGCCATAGCAAAACAGTTTAACAACCGATGAATCCCGGAATTATTAGAATCTTACAAAGCGGACATCGTCGTCGTTGTCATCAGAATATTCAACCCAGGCCGCCGACGAGCGCACTGCCTGACGACCGGAATCGCAGCCATTCCTTCGCCTGGGAAATTTCACACATGCTCACATAATTAATCTTCCATTTCAAATTGTGAAATCGGCAAAACAATCGACTGTAGAAATTAAAATCACGGAGATTACCTAGGGAGACAGCGTGAAACCAGACGAGAGGACCAGGCGGCCGGGGGAGAGAAGGCCGGCCAATCCTCTCTTGCCACCGCGCCGGGTGCTCGAGGCAGCGGAAAACGCGCCACCGCAAGTGAAGCTGCAGAAGCGGCGACAGACCGCGAGTTAGCGCCCTGTAGACCTTGTAAATCATCAGTCCTTTGGTCGAGGCGACCATTTCTACCTCGCTCAGCTTCTCTACCCCTCCCGCAATTCTGCTGTTTAGTGGTAACTGTGTGTTGTCTGTTTGCTCCTCTCTGGCCTCTGCTTTCAGTTCAAACGAATTAATTCTCGGCAGCGGCGCCAGAGTCCCCAAAAAATTTGCCGCCGGATCTGGAACTGAAAAGTGAACGTCCACGAATGGGCCGCCTTCCCGTGGTCTGTTCAGTAAGCCCGAACTGGCCCATTTGTTTTTTGTTTAGATGGGTAATGCGCGGCCTACTTCCGAGCTCGGTTTAGGAAAATAAAAATGACTGGTTATAATTTTCTATCAACAAATTAAAATCGATTTAATAATTTCTGGTCAAAAAGACTTAGTAGTCTATAAGATATATGATGGAGATTCATGACTCAACTTTCTTCCATTTCAAATTTTCTGCAACGAGAGTGAAAGTAGGAAGGGTACTTTCGTCATTGCAATTGTTTATTTTTTTATTTGAAAAAAATATCAGTGTCAAGATTTGAACTCGGGTCTCTTCTAACAAGGACAAGAGTCATAACCAATAAGACTAAACAAATTTGTTGCATTTATTTATAAAAAAAACATACAAGAGGCAAAATTCTGAAAATCAAATGACTTTTCCACCACAGTTAGCTACCCCACTAAGTCTTTCTTAAGCATTTTTAGTGTTGGATCTTTGATTATCATTTATTATTATTTTATTTTGACTTCAATAATAATGGTAGTCTATCTTATAAATGGAGGATAATCTTAAAACCGCAATCCAAATATCATTTATTCGAATATTGCATATCAAATTACAATATTAAATATATATGTGCACACACAACCACATATATATGGGTCAGACTGGTGTACTCCTGGAGTATATTATACTTCAGGTACTCTTCGTGAGATATCTCTATCTAGACCATGATTTTTAACCGAGTTTGGGGTATGATACTCTACCCTAACCTCTAATGGATAAACCCCAGGCCCCGATTCTCTAAACTCAAACCCAAAGTTTAATTTAATGGAAAATTATAATTGACCATTGAGATTGATTGGAGCTCAACAAAGTACATCTAATGTCTAGATCATGTGGAGTATACTATACTCTTGGAGTATACCAGTATACTATACTCCTGTAGTATACCAGTATGTGTGTGTGTAGTGTTTTCTATCATATTTTGAGTAAAATCAAAAGGTAACTCATACCCTTGGTAAGAAATGGCAATCTAGACTTTGAATTAACCTGATTTCGAGACGAGACACTATATTCTAACCCTTGACGAGTGAACTCTAGGTCTTAACTATTTAAATCATAGATCCTAAACCAAGGATTATAAAACCTCATCAGAGGTTGTACCGAAAAAGTCGGCAGGAGGGTATTTTATGCGAAAACTGTGGTTAACCGTGATTCAGTCGTTTCACAACACTACATAGTGCCTACTGGTTTAGTCGAACCCCCGGTACGTTAAGGGTTTTCAATCCTTGCCCTAAACACTAAGATTATGCACATAATTTTTTTGATGTATTTTGATGAAACACGACCTTCGATTATTGTTTCTAATAAAATTGATCTTAGTATATGAGCTTCATAGAATTAAGACCTAGATTTTAATCTGTAAGGGCTTAAGGTATAGTACCATGTCCCTAGCTCCGGCCACTAGACATCATTTTCATACTCAGAGTATATCATTCAAGGTCTATATATCATTTCCTTATGTCATTTTCTTAATCAAAATATGATAGAACCACCCATACTTATAGTTGTGTTATCCTGCTGGAAAGTCATTTGTTCTAAATGTTAGTTGGTTGGACTGCAGTTTTATCAGGGTTGTATGTTGTTTGAAACATTTTGAACTTCATTAGTCCAATATTTTTAGTACTCCTATATTATTTAGGGATAATATCCTATTTTGTGTTGAACTTTGATGTAAATAACAATTTTGGCATGAACATTCAAATAAGATAGTTTTGTCCGAATTTGAAAGAAATTAACAAATTTGACCCGAAATTTGGGTCGGTTATTAATATTGAGGGTCAAACATTTCTTTTTTTTATGACTCAACATACAATGTTAAGGTGACTGTGGTGTGACTTTCACGTCATAGGTATAATATGCTATTTTGCCCTACACTTTCAAATAAGACAGTTTTGTACGAATTTTCAAAGAAATGAATAACTTTGACCCAAAATTTAGGTTGCCGTTAATATTGATGAGAGGGGTATAAAGAGAGATAGTTTCGTGCTTTGGGATTTTTGGGGGCCTGAATCAATTTCTTTTTCCTTTTAATATGATTTATGCAAGTAAATATGAAAATATTAGGATATACTAATGGTCCTATTTTGTGGTCTTTTTTTCTTCTGAAAAATTCACTTTTTTAGACTTTATAAATAAATGACTTGGAAGCCACATCGCAACCGAAACCTCTCTATCACAACTGTCAATATTAAAGGTCAACCCAAATTTCGGACCAAATTTGTTCATTTCTTTCAAAGTGCAAACAAACCTATCTTATTTGAAAATTCGAGCCAAAATTGTCTTTTACATCAAGTTCATGCCAAAATAAGGTATCATCCCTATGACATGGAAGCCACATCGCAATCGCAACCACCTGAGCATTGTATGTTGAATGGATGAAGAAATTTTTAACTTTTAATATTAACGAACAACATAAATTTCAGTCCAAATTTGTCCATTTCTTTCAAAATTTTGAAAAACTGTCTTATTTGCAAGTTCATGTCAAGTTTGGCTTTTACGACAAACTTCAAGGTCAAAATAAGGTATATCCCTATTATTTATGGTCAACTTACCAATCAAAGTAGCCAGTGAAAGTATCAGCAACACTGACAAAGACAAACATATGTAATTCAAAATTAGTTGCACTCAGCCTTAAGTTTGAAGCTCTCTTGAGAACCCGGACTATTTTCTAGGCATCTTCGGGGACTACGACTAGCATGCTTCCAAACCAGCTGATCCTTATTATACTTTCTATGAAGAGGAATAATATGGGTGTATCTGTTAGACATTAATTAGGGTTACAAATGATCTCATTCCTAAAATCTGTTAGAGACCAATCTTTTTCTTTCCTTCTGAGGGTTCATTATGTATGTTTTAGGAAAAACAACTCTAATCTTGAACTATTTGCCATTTTTAAGTATTGAAAACCTATTATTTTGTATGTTTTTCTTTTCTTCTTTGAACAATTATATTTCTTTTTTCAGTGATATGTCGTATCTTCCTATTATATTGTAAGCATGTTATATGAACATATTTTTTGTCTAGACTTTCCCGGCCAAGGGGCCGGGCCCAGTGCTAGTTAGTAATAATAATTATTATAGATCAATTCAATTAACAATGGTACCATAATGTACGGCAACTTAGCGAGCGGCATAAGACAATGGCTATACTTCTAGCAAGGACATATATATGATATTTTTTGGATAATGTACAAGGAGAAACGAACGTAGTAATAATAACAATGGACATGGTACAGGATTAATAATTAATTAAGTAGAATTTGGTACGATCGAGCATGGGTGATGACACTGAAGTTGAAAATGAAGCAGCTTGTAGGTCTTTCGAGTTTAAATGACTTAGTCAGATCTATAAAAAGTAGAGTTGAATAAATACTTGTATTTTGAAGCTATACGTACGTATGGTATGCATGCAGGATCGATGGGGATCATGTATGTACATGAGAATTTTGTCGAAGATCGCCATTATTTATAAATCTTTCTTTTCTTTGTGTGGTTGGATTTTTCTCCTAAATGTATGTGTTGTTGGTGGCGGGATCAGGAATTTGAATGAGAGGACTAAGTTTGAATCGTGCATGATAATTGAGAAGGAGGGCTAACGCTTTATGAACTGTTTTATTTTCTAAAATTATTATGAATTTTGCATGTAATTTTTTATATATTTCAAAGTTGGGAGGGACTATAGTCTATAGCTTCTCCTAAGTTCAACTTAACTCCTGCACTGCGTGTTGTAGTTATCAAATTGCTGTTTAGTGGTGTTCTTTAGAAAATTCTGGTCGCATTCCATCCATTTGTTGCAATAAAATGAAAAGGAGACTAATCTGATTGTAATGCGCTAGTGTTATTTAGAAAAATATGGTCATATCCAATCTAGTGATAGCAAAAAAATGAAAACGAGAGTAATCCAACGTGTTCAATACGTAGATTTTGATCAACTCGGTGTTCATGTAATAACAATATTTGAAAATATATAAAAAATAGCCATGAATGTCATAAATTTCCACATAATAACAAGATTCATGATGAACTTGATGTCTATATAATTAATAGTCCAGTTCCAAAGCTATGTTGAACTTCAACTATGAAATATAAATAAAATTACAGGTATAATTTGTAATGAAATTAGAAAATATATAGTAGTTTGGTCTTAAGCATTTCCCACCTCCCCAGCTAACACCATTCGAATGGGTACTTGTTAGTTTTGTTCAGATTTCTGACTTCTCACCACAATCATTAGTAAATTGAATTATGAGATATGTTGTTTAGAGTGCAAACAATAGCTAGCCTTGGTCACCATATCGGAATAAAATCACCCAATCATTAGTTAAATAGATGCAGAGGCAGAAACCAACATCGAAAAGGCCAATGGAAGAACAATCATGGCTTTGATTTACTTAACATTTCTCTGCATGATTGATCATAACGGGTACCCACATATTTATGCCGTGCGGTGGGACAACTGAATTTGCCGTGAAAGGATCAAATCTTATAATTTCTACATTATTCCTCAATGGATCGAAACAATTTTGTCTACCATGTACATTTCTTTATGGCTCTGTGATTGCCGTTTCAAACGAATCTCATATATCACTAGCTAGATAATTTGATTTGTTTTGCATATTTCAATGTTGTACCGGAAGTTGGACAATTTAGTATATAAGATCAACCATTATAAAAAAAAATTAGTATAAACCATTATCAAAATTATTTGGTATATAATATCAACCAAATTTCCATAATGCCAAAAGTTAATGTTAGGTATGGTAACTTGACTTCGGTCCACAATGGCATTTCGAATAGACCATTAATAAGAATAAGTTTAGGGGAAAGAATGAGAGGAATAATTAATTAAAACTCTATATATATTATTATTCATCCATCACAATACTTCTCAAGGCTCGTCCTCTTGGCGCTATAGCTCTATATATTGGAAGTCCAATCCCGTACCAACTTAACATTAACGTAAACTAAAAGCCACAACACATCTAAGTTGATCGAGAGAAAATAAAATGGGTTCCTCGATAGACTACGAAATCTCCGCCATAGCCCTCCTCCTCCTCCTCTGGGTCGCCTGGGCAATGACGACGGAGCGCCGCCACCACCGTATCGAACAGCTCGGCCGCCTTCCTCCAGGCCCCCGCCCGCTCCCGCTCGTCGGCAACATCTTCCAGCTGGGCTGGTCTCCGCACAAGTCATTGGCCCACCACGCCCGAGCCCACGGCCCAATAATGACCCTCTACCTCGGCTCCATGTGCACCGTCGTGATCTCGTCCAAACAAGCCGCCCGCACCATGTTCAAGAGCTACGACGTCGTCCTCGCCGGACGGAAGATCTACGAGTCCATGAAGGAACCCAAGAGCCGCGACGGCTCCATCATCACGGCCCAGTACGGCCCCCACTGGCTCATGCTCCACCGCCTCTGCACCGTGGAGTTCTTCGTCGGCCACCGGCTAGACGCCACCCAGCCCGTCCGGAGCCGGTGCGTGGAGCGGATGATCCGGTTCATCGACGAGGCCCGGGCCCACGAGCCAGCTGTGGACCTGGGCCGGTTCATTTTCCTGATGGCGTTTAACCTAATAGGGAACCTCATGTTCTCGAGGGACTTGCTGGACCCCAAGTCCGAGAGAGGGGCGCGGTTCTTCCACCACGCCGGGAAAGTGATGGAGTTCGCCGGGAAGCCCAACGTGGCGGATTTCTTCCCGGTTCTGAGCCCGTTCGACCCGCAAAGGATCCGGAGGAACACCCAGTTCCATGTGGAGCGCGCGTTCGAGATTGCCGGGGAGTTTATCGAGGAGAGGACACGTGGAGATCATAGTGGCGGCAGCGACGTGGACGACGAGAAGGGGAAGGATTTTTTAGACGTGTTGCTGGGTTTCCGCGGGGAAGGAGTTGACGAGCCGGCCAAGTTTTCTTCTAGGATGGTCAACGTCATCGTCTTTGTAAGTCGAGTTTTGTTATCTCTATCGTTCCTTTCCTTTTCCTTCCTTCGTTACTAACCAAACCAAGGGAAGGGAGACATATGGTCAAACTGTCTATAACTAATCAACAAAGTCAAGCTATTGGACGGCACTAACTGCTAACCGAAAAGATAAAACAATTATAAGGTTGGATGCTAGATGAAGTGGATGTGTTTCTGACTGTTACGGCGAAATGCTCGAAGAAATCAGATTTGGGAATGATGAGAATTAGACAAAGTGTTTGTCCTCTAGTATGTGTGGGATAATTCGATTTCAACAAAAAGGAATCGAATGCCGGAAGGAAAGAAGTATGATAGAAATCCTGGTCTTCCCTAGGAATTAAATTCAACATTCTTACTTGTATTTTACCCAATATGATAAAGTTGTTCAATTTATAATGATTTTTTAACATCTCTACGGCTTTTTAATTAATTAATTCAAGAAAAATATATTTTAAAATTAGTGGAAAAGGTGTCGCAATTAAATTGTAATACATATTACAAAAATCAAATATACATAATAGTTACTACAAGATAATTAAGGAATAAACCGGTCAAAAGCGATACTGTAGACTTATAAGAGGCATAGATCACCCTTGCTTAGCAAATTCGGAAGAAATTTTTAAGTTGAAGGATAAGAAATATTAATGAGAGTGTCTATCAGATACGGTAAATATTTTTTATTTTTTACTACTTGTAATAGGAAGTTTTAAAATATCATCATTGACTTGCAGGTTATAACTCTACTATGTTAACTATGTTACGCTACAATATTATATTATCGTAAGCTAAAGATTTATTAGAGAGTTTGAGAAACTCCATATATTATACTATCTATTATTTATTTACAATTTGGGTCTCCTTTGTTTACTCTATAGGAGATGTTTACGGCAGGTACGGACACAACTACGAGCACATTGGAATGGGCCATGGCGGAGCTCCTCCACAACCCAGAAAAGCTACACAAGGCCCAATCCGAGCTAAGGGTAGTCGTCGGCCCAAGCCAGAAACTTAAAGAACAAGACATCCCTAATCTACCGTACCTTAAAGCCATCATCAGCGAAACGTTGAGGCTCCATCCACCATTGCCCTTCCTCGTCCCGCACATGGCCATGCAGCCATGCAAGATGCTAGGGTACTACATCCCCAAAGAGACCCAAATCCTAGTGAACGTTTGGGCCATTGGCCGAGACCCGACCACGTGGCCCGACCCACATGAGTTCAAACCCGAGAGGTTCTTGGACTCCGATGCAGTTGATTACAAAGGACAAAATTTCGAGTTCATACCGTTTGGGTCGGGGAGGAGGATGTGCCCGGCTGTGCCGCTTGTTTCTCGGGCTTTGCCCTTGGCGTTGGGCTCATTGTTGCATGAGTTTGATTGGGCTTTGCCTGATGGGCTTAAGCCCCATGATTTGGATATGAGTGAAAGGATGGGGATTACCTTAGGAAAGCTGTTCCATTGAAAGTGATATCGAGTAGGAAGTACAAAGGGAATTAAACCATTAGGGTTCGACATTTTTCTTGTATGATGATATTGCAATGCATCTTTGTATTGTCGAGGAGGGATTGCTCGATATTGTAGTACTTTTAGGTTGTTTGTATGTCACTCCTCAAATAAGTAAAGAGGGATTTTTTTTTAAGACGAAGTTAAGTAAATATCATATCCTTCATCAAATTATTTTAAGAAACTCGTAACTCTCTTGTATATAGTTGGTGACACGAAGTGCAATTAGAGAAAAATTGTCCCAACAATTCTACAAAAGTAACCTAGTTCAAAAAGGTGGACGCAATGTTGTTCCCGTGTCTATAAATGTGGAGGGCCATATTGGATAGAGAATAATACCTTATGATATTGAGACAGGTTTCGTATTATGTTCCTAATTTTTGTTGATATGAGTTGAATCGAATTATTTGTCATCGACCAAAAGTCACGGGATATAGGCTTATACACGTTTGAGTTTTTATTATGGGTCTGGTTTATGACCTTATTCTTTGCTATATTAGATTAAGGTTAGGTCGTATTGTAAAGTACTATATATACTTTTCAATCTTTCTACAATTATAATGTATTATTTTCTCAAATATAGTGAAACCAAGGTTGTCAAACCGGTTTATGCCAGTGTGCTGGTTTAGCAAGTGGAATGGTTCAACCGGTGGCACATATCGGTTTGTGCCGATCAATATTGCAAATAAAATTATAAATACTCATATTTAAACATGATATTTAACGTCAATACCTAAACATTTATACTTGAATCCAACAAATAACATCAATATTTAACTTTTATACTCATAAAATAAATAATAAAATAATTTTTAACAATTAAATTCACTAAAATAAGGTCATTTTACTTAGAGATTCGTATATCGATCATGCCGGTCATACCGATGGTATCACGCCGGTTTTATGACCAGTACCGGTTGAACCAGGTAAAACGGTTGTCACGCCGGCCAGCGTGACAACCATGAGTGAAACTAATTATCTCCTCCATGTGAATTAATTAATACATATTGTAATAGTTTAACTATGTAAATATGTGTTGTTTACTTTTTTGGATTATCAATTATCTCCATCCATTCTTAACTATGAAAAATAGAGATAGGAAGATTGGTTTTAAAAGGTACAAATTTTGGGTGCTCAACGACCTAGAAAACAAGCTCTCGGTGATGGCCTGATGGCTGGCTGGACAGACAAGTTGGGTTGGGCTGCTTCAGCTAATTTCTTTTTTATCATTGTTGACTTTCACAGAGGAAGGCCGGGTGACAAATAATAGCATCTGCTATTCGCCGTTGCCCCAGCACAAGTCCAACGATCAGCTTCCAGACACTACAGCCACCGCCTTGTCTTTTCTCGGTAGGTACGTAGCTTGGAATCAAGCATAAGAATCATCGGACAGAGTAACAAAAAAGAGATTCTGTTTGGACTGCAAAACAAACCTAGTCAGGTGTCTTGGACGTATATCAGGAATCGATAGTTGACAAACTGTTTTTAACTTCATGTAATCGGCAGGAGAAAAGGCATCTATCTATTAATCAATCATTATAAAGGAAACCAGTGTTAGTTATATCTCTATATATGTATATATCTCAGTAATAACTAATAATTACTAGTTACTGTTCCCTAATTAAGAAACATTTTCGTGGCCATCATTCAACTAACAATAGTACAAATTTAAATATGATGAAAAGGAAAATCCACTTGCATGATATTTAATTGTTTATAAGAAATAATGGAATATAATGTCCATTGTTACTTGTGTAAATTAATTAATCAGGTGAAAGAGGTTTTTCTCGTGTGAATTAAGATAAAGTAATTAAGTTGCATAAAAATTATGCAAATTAGATGTATAGTTTTCTTGTCATCCTTCATCACTCGTAAGGTAAAATCTAATTCGCATCTCATGTGACTATCAATCAATTCAGAACTTACATATCTTGATAGATATCTTTCATATAAGATATAAACTGCCAATAAATCGATTCTTATTTCAATAAAGGTATGTCAATGTAAAATCGGAAACCATAACTATCATATAAAGTATAAACCCCTTCCCAACGAAGAAACAAAATAATATAAGAGCAAACTCTAAATCAAGGAGAGAAATTACTACTTTTTTGAGGTCACACAATATTAGAGATTATACAAAACTCCAAACTTATATGTAGATCAACTACCATATGAAGACAGGCTCCCAGCACAGCATTTACCATACCTATAATCAATCCATACTTCATACATACCAATATATGTATAAACATTAACTACCATCTTCAACAAAAAATATTTTTCCAAACACGATCGAGGCTGGAGTGGACCATTAATAATCCTTTACTTCCAAAACCCACTCCCATCCCATACCCATTATAAATTAAAAGGTCTCCATAATCACAGTCACACTGCAAATTAAAAGCAGGTCTCCGTAATCACAGTACTCCAGAGAAATTCCATTTCTCCTCAATCATCATGATCTCGCCACATCACTACTGGTCAACGCTATGGCCAGCTAACATCCTCTTGCTTCTCACCCTGCCGGCGCTACTCCTCCTCCTCCTCACCCGCCGCCGCCGCCCCAACCTCCGCCACCCTCCCGGCCCGCCGGGGTGGCCGGTGATCGGCAACATCCTCGACCTCGGCACCATGCCCCACCGATCCCTCACCGCCATGCGCGACGCCCACGGCGACGTGGTCCGCCTCCGGCTCGGCTACTCCAAGAGCGCCGTCGCCATCCTATCCACCTCCGCCGCCGCCGACTTCTTCAAGAACCACGACCTCGACTTCGCCGACCGGACCGTCACCCAGATCATGAAAGTCCACGGCTACGACCGCGGCTCCGTCGCCCTCGCCCCCTACGGCCCTTACTGGCGCGTCCTCCGCAGGCTCGTCACCGTCGACATGCTCGTCGCCAAGCGGATCAACGCCAGCTACCCCGTCCGCCGCAAGTGCGTCGACGACATGATCCGGTGGATCGGCGACGAGTCCGGGTCCGAGATCCAGGTGGCGAGGTTCGTGTTCCTCACCACGTTCAACCTCCTGGGGAATCTGATGCTGTCGAGGGACCTCCTCGACCCGAAGTCGGCGGAAGGCAAGGAGTTCTTCACGGCGATGATGGGGCTGATGGAGTGGGGAGGCCATGCCAACGTGGCCGACATCTTCCCCGTGCTGAGCTGGATGGACCCACAGGGTTTGGTCCGGAAGATGCGGCGGGATCTCGGGAAGGCGCTGGAGATCGCCTCGAGATTCGTGAGTGACAGGATCGAGGACGGCAAGGGCATGAAGAAAGAGTGGGACAAGAAGGATTTCTTGGACGTGTTGTTGGAGTTTCGAGGGAACGGCAAAGACGAGCCAGAGAAGATTGCACATGGAGACATCAACATTTTCATCCTCGTAAGTAGTTTTTTCCGTTTTACAATCTTGATACGGCGGCCTAAATTATGACAAGGGCTTAGGTCTGGTAGTAGTAAGTAATGTTTTTCGGTTTCGCATGCAGGAGATATTTTTGGCCGGATCGGAGACGACGAGCAGCACGACGGAGTGGGCCCTGACGGAGCTACTCCGCCACCCGGAGTCGATGGCCAAAGTCAAGACCGAGCTGAGAGAGGTGGTCGGACCGGACCGGAAGCTGGAGGAAAGCGACATCGACAGCCTGCCCTTCTTGCGGGCCGTGGTGAAGGAGACTTTCAGGCTGCACCCGCCGATCCCGCTCCTGGTGCCACGTAGGGCGATCAGGGACACGAAGTTCATGGGGTACGACATCCCCAAGGACACGCAGGTCTTCGTCAACGCCTGGTCGATCGGGCGCGACCCGGACCAGTGGGTGGACCCGTGTAGCTTCAAACCGGAACGGTTCTTGGACTCGAAAGTCGACTACGCGGGCCAGCACTACCAGTTCTTGCCGTTTGGGGCTGGAAGGAGGATGTGTGCTGGCGTGCCGCTAGCACACCGGGTGCTTCACTTGATACTCGGCACCTTGCTTCACGAGTTCAGTTGGGAGTCGAAGGTGGATCCTATGAGCCTGAACATGGACGATCGTTTGGGGATCACTATGAGGAAGTCGGAGTCGTTGATGGTTGTGCCGACTAAGGACAAGATCATGTGATGGTGGAGAGTACCAAGTCAGAAGGGGGTTGTTAAGAAGAAATAATATAATATATAAGTTTTTTCAAAGCATCTTATATATGTACAATGATATGTTCTCTAATATATATATTAGATGCTCTGGGTAATGACAAATGATCTGCAACATTGCTCCATACATTAAAATTAAGGTTTGCTTAAGATATAATGGTTGTCAATGACCCATTCTTGCCTTCCTGGCCCCAATGATTTATCTCCAAATGTCTTTGTAGTTAGGTACGATCACTTTGCTGGAAAATGCATAATAATATGTCTCCAAAGTTGTTGGAGCAGACGCAGAAAGATTCAAAATCGGTGGATAGCTCGCTTTCGACACAACAACAGAATGCGCTTGTGAGCATCTTCTTACAAGGCGCCTTGCCTTGCAACAAACTTGTGTCGACTTTGCAGATGATACCACAATGAAAAATCGGATCATGAAGCTCTAAGTTGAACAATGAGAAGATGTTTGATCTTTGTCTTCATGCCAATTAGCTGTACATTGATTGGAACACACATGGCCCATATATAGGCCCGTTGGCGTTCTCTAATGCACTATGCCACTATCATACGAGTTTGGATTCTAGTTTTGTATTGGGCTCCTTTTTTCATGAATCTACAATATTAGCGATGGACCTTGTATGGCCTCGATGTTTGCCAATGTCAAAAGTTTTTCTCTACTTCGAAGTAGGTTTGGTGAAACTAATTACCATGATAATTGTAAATTAATTTAGATATATAATGATCAGGTGATCCGTCGAGGTTGGTAATGAAATAGTGCAATGGTCACCTCAAAATTCGTAACTTATGTGTCATAATCGTCATTTTGAACAGAATAGTTAAATTTGTTTGGAGAGTCGAAAAAATCGATTTATCATATAATATGTCATTCTTAGAGAATATATACAGAAAAATCAAAGGAGAATACTAATAAGGGATACATAATTACGTGGCTACTGATGTAAGGAGGGAGGAAACTAATAAGGGCAGCAAATTGCCAAATTTGAAGACAGTTTCTCTTTTCTTCTGTTTCTTAATTGGGATACATACTTTTGCTGAATTTGAACTATTGGCAGTGTTATTGAAGAAGTAAAATTGGCAGCCACAAAATTCCACAATGGCTGCACAGTTACTGTTGTTATGCTGCTATTCCCATCAAAGATCATCCATAATAGGAATCTCAAACAATAAGAGTTTTTAAAATATTTCATAACCAACCGTCGTAATTATTGACTAAACGATGTAATAACTAATAACAAGAAAGTGTCACACCAAATCAAACTTCATTCCAAACCTCCAAGTTCGTGATAAGTCACGCTACTCGCTATAGAACTAACCAAATAACTAATTATGCGTTATAGGTAATAAACATTATGAGTTAAACACCATCTTATAATATCCTAATTAAGTCAATAATTCAACCATTATTATGTACACATTCACATTTTTCTTCTTCTTCAATGTCTGCCTACCAACTTCCAATAGCAGGGTCGTCCATTTTTTTTAAGGTATGGCATCTACTGGACACTGTTACAATATGATGGGTATCCACTTACCGAGAAGAAAAAAACAACAACTGTCCTTTAACCCCCCTCGTCAGCTGATTGAATGAACAGTATTAGCAAAATTAATCAATTTCATTCGAAGACCTATTATTATTTAATTATGGCGGCTGATCAATTTAATTCATAACTAAGCCTTCAAACAAGGCTGTGCGCAGTCGAGTTCTTCCTCGTTGGTTCTCCATTGGCTGCGGCTTACCAATAGATCAATTAGTAACACTTGAAAAAATAATCTCTAGCTAAGAACTTTTCAGACATTCACTACTGGCGGCTGACCATCAACTTGCTATTATTCTAGCAGGGGATGCTATTATATATCCAGAAATCAGAATCCAATGTTTGTGGAAACAATTAGTGTATAGTAGTCTACATAGAAAATGAACATAATGATCTCAATAGATAATGGAAGGAAACAACTATTTTTAACTCTTGAGATGATATATATGAGTCGGTTCACCCAAAATGTATCGTACGTGTCCAACCCATTCAATATTTGCCATTTATTTTGAGCACAAACAATTAGATCGATCTGTCATTAGCAGCAAGTCGTCAGGGTAATGCAATCTCATTAATGGGAGGAAATAAAAATAAAGATTATAACTCAGCGCATTTTCCATTGAACTCAAATGAACATAATGATCTCGATATTGATACGTACAAAGACTAAGAAATATGTGATTTTTTCCATTCTTCCATTAATATATATATGACTTTCTTTTGTTCACTCGATATCAAAGGATATTCTACATAGAAAATGTTCATGGAAGAAAAGTTCCACGTTGAAACTTTTGAAGGAGTAAAGAATTTATTGAGAGCTATTAAACAAAGTATATATTTCATACAGAAACCATTGAATTTGGAGGAGAATTTATCATCATATGCAGCTGTTTTCCCAAGTTCAAATACTTAAATTAGAAAGTGAGAGATATATATTTCATAATCTGTTCATCATTTTTATGTATAATAATTATGGCCGCCGATTGATATATCCATCGAACAAAAGGAGGTTATCTTATGCATATATAATATTTATTTTTGTCCATTTCTCTCCCAACACAAAAACTAGCTTGCTGGTAGACACTATTGACCAGCCCAGTCTTTTTTGTCAAACTAAGAATAATTGAACAAAAGAAAGGAAGAAACATGGTCAAATTTCCCTTCTCATTTTATTTATTTGCGTTGGTGTGACGTTCACATCACATGCAATAATATACGATTTTATTTCATTAATCAAGTATAGACAACACCTAACCAATAATCAAAGGATTCAATCTCTTACATTATATATTTTCATTTCTCGAATCCTTTCAGTCCACTTTGTACCTATTACCCGCCACAACTTTGTATGCAACGTAACTTCGTATCAATTTCCACTACCAACCATTCCTCTCTCTATATAAACCCTACCATTGTTCCCCCTTTAATTATTTCTCATCATCATCACCATCATCATAAATCCCTTTTCTTCACCATCAAACTCCACACAAAAAACATGGCGACCACAACGTCGTTAATCGACTATGACAACCCCTCCACCCTTCTCATCCTCTCTCTCGCAACCATCATCGCCCTCTTTTTCCTCCTCCGTCGGAGCCTCAAGAAGACGGCGGCGCCGTTTCCTCCCGGCCCCCGCGGCTACCCGCTCATCGGCAACATTCTGGACCTCGGCAACATGCCCCACCGCACCCTGACCGCCATGCGGGAGAAGTACGGCGACGTCGTCTGGCTCAAGTTCGGCGCCAAAAACACCATGGCCGTCCTCTCCGCCAAGGCCGCCGCCGAGCTCTTCAAGAACCACGACATCAACTTCATGAACCGCAACCTCACCGAGACCACCAAGTCCCACGACTACCACCAGGGCTCCCTCGGCCTCTCCCCCTACGGCACCTACTGGCGCGTCCTCCGCCGCCTCGTCACCGTCGACATGCTCGTCCTCCGGAAGATCAACGACGGAGTCCCCGTCCGCCGCCGCAACGTCGACAAGTTGATCGACTGGGTCCGTGACGAGTCCTCCCCCGCGGCAGGTATACAATAATACAAACCTTTATAGTCAAAAAGTAAAATCATTTTTAATACTAAATACTACATCTTTCAAAATTTCATTTATCAAGAGAATTCCACGTGTGTGTTTAAAAATTTGTTTTATCACGAACGTGATAGGTGATCAACAACCAGCGCCAGCGCGTGAGATCCACTTGGCCCGACTCGTGTTCCTGACCACGTTCAACCTGCTGGGCAACCTGCTCATGTCCAAGGACCTGGTGGGCTCGGACTCGAACGATGCGGACACGTTCTTCGAGGCGATGATGAAGCTGATGGAGTGGAGCGGGCACGCCAACGTGGCCGATGTGTTCCCCTGGCTGCGATGGCTTGACCCTCAGGGCTTGAGGAAGAAGATGGACCGGGACCTTGGGATCGCGCTAGGGGTTGCTTCCAAGTTCGTCAGGGAGAGGATCACCCAAGGAGACAACAACGAGAAGGAAGGCGACAAGAAGGACTTCCTCGATGTGATGCTCGAGTTCCGAGGCAACGGGAAGGACGAGCCCGACCGATTTACCGAGCACCAGATCAACATTTTCATATTGGTAAGTTTTCACTTTTTACCATACCTTTTTATCTTCCTGGAGTCAAAGTCAAACGTATTTATTTGTTCTCACGTCATACCAACTGGTCAAAAATCGGCCGAAATTGTTGAGAGCCAGCCACCAGCCACCTACTGCCACGTCGATAACGAAAACTCTTCCCGTTTTCCGACTTGCAGGAGATCTTCCTGGCGGGATCGGAGACGAGCAGCAGCACGATCGAGTGGGCAATGACGGAGCTCCTCCGCCACCCGGAGTCGATGTCCAAACTGAAGTCCGAGCTGGACAAAGTGGTGGGACCCGACCGGAAAGTGGAGGAGTCCGACATCGACGACCTCCCGTTCCTCCAATCCGTCATCAAGGAGACCTTCCGCCTCCACCCGCCGCTCCCCCTGCTGGTGCCGCGGCGCGTGGAGGAGGACGCGATCTACATGGGCTACCACGTGCCGAAGGGGACGCAGGTCCTGGTCAACGCGTGGGCGATCGGGCGGGACGCGGAGGCCTGGGGGGACGACGCGTGGGGGTTCAAGCCGGAGCGGTTTTTGGGGTCCAAGGTGGACTTCAGGGGCCAGCATCACCAGCTGATCCCGTTCGGAGCCGGGCGCCGGGTCTGCGCCGGGTTGCTGCTGGCCCATCGGATGGTCCACCTGGTGTTGGGGACGTTGGTTCATGAATTCAACTGGGAGCTTACCGTTGACCCCAAGGATCTTAACATGGATGATCGGTTGGGGGTGACCATGAGGAGATTTGAGCCGTTGATGGCCGTGGCAAGAGAAGTCAGGGGGTGATGATAGTGTTCGTACGTGCATGGTGACGTCCCACTTTGACCTTTGGATGAAATAGGAGCAAAATGTGTTTTGGTTTTTCTCTTCCTTGAATAATTAATGACATAGTCACACTATAATTAAGTATTCATTGTTTTGTTCTACGTATAGTATGTGCAACTTTAAGAAACATGCCCTTTTAGTTATTTGTCATTTTTGTGGTTAAGTGAATATTTTAATTATATTTAATGTTATTTTGGAAAACGGTGTATGATTTATAACCCTATCTATTTTTCTTTAAGTACATGATGTCCAAATCTGTGCGACCTAACAGAGTGCTACAAAAGGGTGGAGGAATGAGGGATACAAGTGTGAATTCCAACCTGTGGATTACTGGATTAAGACTGACAACCAACAACATACCCACTCAGTCGCGATCTCGATCTCGGTATCGGTCTCGGTCGCATACAACTAGCAGATTTATTACAATGAGATGTAGAATATTGTAATATAATTAATCGGTGACAATTTTTAGTTTTCTATGGGCCAATATAGGTATAGCCCACACAAACAGGGCCCGTTTGTGGCGGCTAGTTGGGCTCCTTTTGGACCGTTCTCAAGCATAATGTAAAACGTGGCCGCTGGCCCACACCATCGTAACTCAGTCGGTCAAACTAGGGGTGGGCATCGGTGCGGTTCGGACCGTACCGCACCGTATTGATATAGACCGCACCATACCGCATTCAATTGGACCGCATCGCATGTTCGACCGCAATGTTATTAGTGCGGTCAAACCAAACCGCATATATTGGCGATTTGGTGCGGTTTAAACCGTATCGCATAATTGACCGCATTTCATTATAAATTATGTTAGATTAATTAAATAATATTACTACTCCCAACCAGGACTCCAGGAGCATCCACTCTGCTTTCCCCTGCCACAGAAACAGAACTACTCTTCCCCTCTCTCAACTAGATAATGGAATTCAAATTCTAGACTCTGTGTTCCAAATTGAGTTCAATTGCCCTCCTCCCACCATCTTCCCCTCACTCTCCCTTCTTCCTTCCTTTCCTCTCTATCTCGGTAGCTAGGAAGCAAACAAGCAAAAGGCCATTCCTCTGCGAGAACGGAAGAATCAACGGCAGGTAACAGAAACAATAATTCCCACACCATTTCCTTGTTTCTCCGTCTCTTACTTGCTGGATCTTCCCATTTGACTGCGTCGGTGGTGGGCACTGAGGGACTGAATGGCGTTGTTGCTTTCGAGGAGTGGGCGATCGCAATGTCCATCTACGGCGGCGGGGCAGAGTCGGACGGCGACTAGGATTCGGAAGACGGAGTGTCGGTTGATTGGGATAGAGTGACGGTTTCCATGAATTATAGGGAAATGGTTGGGCTTGGAAAATTTGGAATGTCTTATTGCGGTTTGCGGTTTGGACCGTAAACCGCGCGGTTTCGGTTTGAACCGTCCGCTAACCGCGAACCGCATAAAATATAGACCGCATATTGGACCGCATTTTAATGGTGCGGTTTGGTTTGACCGCATATGCGGTTCGGTGCGATTCGGTGCGGTCCGACCGCACCAATGCCCACCCCTAGGTCAAACTGAGTAGGAGAAAGATTCCGAAAATGGCACGGCGGCCGAGCCTAGCGCCTTAGCCTTTGTGGTTGGTAGTCACGTATTCGTCTCCTACCTAGAACTAGAAAGTGACCCAAGTGATCCAAATTGCAGGACTACAATGGACATCCAATATTTTATGTATATAAACTTATGAGACGGTAATGATCGATCAATCCTTATTAGACAATGATATATATATGATCAACTGAATATGAAGATTATTTTTGTATCATTGCGTTACTTTTAACAATGGAAAATGTATAAGCAAATTTCTTCTATATTACAAGGCTAACAATTTCACACTGTAAGTCAATCATCTCCGGTCAAGACGCATCTCCTCGAGTCTCTTGCTGATTCTATACAAGTAATCCAATCCGACAATCAGCTCGACGATCGCCGCCTCCGTCTTCGCTCTGTCAGCAAAATACAGCGTCTGGACCAATAGGACATGTGTTTTCGAATCTGCCTCCTCGTGATGCTCGCGCTCGAAGTTCCTCACTGCCTGCCACCTCAGCATGTTGTGCGCCAGCGGCAGCAACCACTCCAGCACTCGCGCCACCGTCTGCCTCCATGCTGCGGCAACTGTCGCATCATACCCTACAGAGGACACTCGACACGTGGCGTGATCTCGCAACCGCTTTCTCAGCACGCTGCGCAGGCTCCCGGGAAGCATTCCGTAGAGCTCGTCTCGTGATGTGGATTCGATCTCATGAGGCGCCGACACCATTTTCTCGATCACGGTGATTAAGTTCGCGTAGTGTAAGTACAACCCGGCGTCACCTAAAGTGGTTGGCGCCGGGTTGATCAGTTGTCGCCTCTTGGATCCCAAAAAGGCTAATTTGGAGTAGATCGCCTCAGCTACAACCGTCGAGGATGAACACGACGCCTGCTGCTCTGCCTCTTCTTTTCCCCCTGCCACCACCGGAGAATTGGACACGTGGCGGAGGGAGCTTCCGATTTGGTTCCTGTCTCGATTGCTGTGCATACATCCATTCAACCCACCAACGTCGCTCAACCGTGTTCTCGACCGGCGATGGTGGCAGCCACGTGGAGGGGATGGCGGCGGCGAGGGTTCCAAATGGCCGATTTTCCCCTGTTCGTGTCTGTACCTGAACTTTTTCCGGGTCGGGCTGCCGACACCCGGCGAAGGATGTACTGCGTAGTAATGCTTCATGATCGACGACATTGACTGGCTCCGAGTCAAAGCAGGACCGCCGGCCGGATTCCTTGATTTCCGGCGGAAGGCGATCCTGTTAATCTGGCAGACGGTTTTGATCCTCTCGAGAATCGTGAGGAGAGATCTGACGAGCAGTCGGACGACGTAGTCGTAAGATCGGATCCACGGGGAGATTGCTCGAAAGTTTCGGATCTCCGTTCGGTGCCAGAGCACCCTCTGTTGCGATTCCAGCAGCTTGATCGGGTCGGTTTTCGGGTTCCCGAGCATTCTCCGTCGAGACCGCTCCAGCTCAGCCAGAACGTCGAGCTCCTGGGCTAGAACCACCATCACTCCGGCGAACCTCTCCATCTTCTTCACCTTCCTCTCCATCTTCTTCGGCCGGTACTCCCACCCGAACCACTCCAGGTGGTTCCGAATCGGATCGCTCACAAACATGTCGAACCGGCTGAACCTCGGGTCGGCGCATTTCCTCCCCAATTCCGCCACGGAGACGGAGACCTCGGCGAAGTTGTCGAGGATCTCGTCAAGAGCCAATTCCATGAGGTAATCCCCGTCGCCGGAGACCAGCATCCGAACGCCGATTGTGCCGACGACGTCGTCTCGCAGCGTCCGCGTCTCGCCGTCGCCGAGAAACCGCCATAGGTTCACTACTTTTGACATCAGCTTCGACACCTCGAACGCTAAAACTCCGATGATCGCTCGATCGGCCTCCGGCGGCACGGCTTTCCTCGAGTGCCGTATGAAGTTCCCCAGCCATGAATCAACGACCATTGTCTGGATTAGATAGACGAAGAAGAGAAATTGGACAACTGGGCGGAAGTATGGTATTTAGCGGGGATCGATTAAAGAGGAAAACAGAGAGGAACAGAGTAGATCGCCGCCATTGTTAACAACAATAAAATTCAGGGGTGAAGGAAGGTTTGACCCCAAAACTTTACCTCAATCGGATACAATAATTGATGGGAAACCCAGATCGAAAGAGCGCTGGTTGAACAGCTTTACGGCGGGGCAAGTAAGACAGAGGGGAGAATCGATGGGGTAAAAGAAGCAAGAGACACCATTGGAGCTGGAAATTTTTGGGCCGAGGGACAGAGGAATGCGAGCTGGAAGCGGCAATGTATTGCAAGGAGAAAGCTAGAAAAGGGGAAAGGCTAAAATAATTGTTTTGTATGGATTAAAAATGGCGGTGGGGATGAAGAAAGACAACGAGGGAGGGAACCTTTTGTTGGAGTTTGGCCGGCGATTACTGCGAGGCGGGAAATTTGTCCAGCGCGGAAACAAGGAAGGATTCTGTTGTTCGTCAGTATTATACCCGAGTTTTATGCCTGCACACACCGAGGGATACGAATACGATCCCGGTTACTCTTTTAAGATTCATCGAGGATAATTAAGCCACAGGCCAGGGTAAAAACTAAAAACGAAGACAGCAGGAAGAGTTTTATGGGATTGGAATATTATCATTGTACCATAGAATTATAATTCCATTGATAATTTGGATACTCTCAATGTTCTTTATTACCATGAAAACTTAAGACCTACATAATTAAAAATCGACGATAAATTATAATTTCTCAAATTGTAATTGTTGTACATTTTTATCTAATCAATATATAAATTTTGGAAAGATTCTCTATTATTAAGAAGAATTGGTGAGGAGTTTGATGCTCAGATAGTTTATTGAAGTTGATGAGTTTAATCTTGTTTTGAGAAATTGGATTTTTTTCAACGGATAACACAAGAGGTAAATACCAGCATAAGTTGGGGGCACTCCTTGTTCATTCAATTCGATGTTCTACTACTATATCAACTTGGGATGGGATTAGGTGGGGCACTCCTTGTTCATTCCATATTGATAGCAGCGTGATAACTAGCAAAAAACGCTATTAAAAACAACGAAATCACTACGGATTATTATAAAATCAATACAACATCTAAACTAAATCGCTACTAATTCAAACTAGTAATAGCTTTTTCCTTTGTTAGGACAGTGCTAACTATTATACAATTAGCACAGTAACTCCTCCCTATCAACTTGATAAATGAGACAACGAAATAGTACCACTTACACGAAGTAAAATAACTTGGCATTTACTGTTTGACCGAGCCTGCTAGTTCCTGTGGACTTTGGATACGACCTGACCCAATTTTATATGGCCCCCGATGTGCAATGGCCCAGTAGGCCTAGTCGAGTTGGGCCTAGTTTTAATATATTTTCCCCTCCAGTTTGTATTTATTTACTTTAAAAATTGTTGGAACTCTAAAAAAAAGGTTCGCCCAATTATCAAGGGGCATCAGTCAAACAACCTCTCTCTCAGTCGCCGTTTGTTGGAATGCACAAAAAATTTGCTCCGTCCATTAGCTAAAGACTAAAGAGTAATAAAGAGAAGAAAGATACAAAATTTTTCAAATATAAATTTCAAATCACAAAAAGAAAAAAAGAAAAAAAAAAACTCAAATGGGAGGAAAATTGAGTCTTTGAATTTTAAAGCTCCTACTAAAGAAGACCTAATCCGCCCTTCACATGGTTACCACTTAGCACTAGGGGGCATATTCCCCATTTGGTGTATCATTTAATGAAATAAATGATCACTTAATCTGGAGGCAATACCTAAAAAGACCTAAACCAATCTTGGGGCACTCCAATTTATAGATCTTACTATCCTCAGCTCGATGGAATAAAACTTATACAAACGTTTAATAGTGTCAACTTTATACCTCAAAATCTTTCAATTTTTATAGAGTTAACAATATAACGACTCAAGTTACTATTGTGGACAGATGTAGTATTTGATTTCACTTTGTCCACAAGCATGATCATTAATTGGGTGTTTATAAGAGATGTTATATATAGTTTGGACTCAAGAGACAGACATGATTTGTACATACTACATTATTTATGCCTCGAACATATGTGCCGATGAAAAGAGATTAATATTTTAAAAATTTACGAACATAATCTGAATTCTTGATCCAAATTCCAACTAATGGATACTCCTACAATATTGTGTCTAGTACCATTACCAAAACCCAACGCTACGTATAATGCATTAACCATTTTGCTCTTCTTTTATGCAACTTTCCCTTTTGCACAAAATCCTAACATTTGGAGGATTGTCTTGTTTTTTATTTATTTTTTATTTCTTCATATGAGTAACGTAACGTAAGTGAGGCGAGGGAAGTAGCCATACAAAAAAGAATTAAAGTGAAAGTGGCGATTTGAACTTTTGTGGCGTGAACATGAAAAAAATCCCACCTTTATTTATATTATGGCCCCCGCCTTTAACTGCCTAGCAATGGTTTGACTGGCAATGGCCTTGTTTGTCCAAATTACGTTATTTGAAACCCTAAAATACAAAATCATAAAGGGGAGGTGGATAATCATCATCGTCAATCATCATTTACGTTATTAATTAGCTTATTTTATATATGCATTTTAATTTTCAGCAGAGTAAAAAGCAATTAAATAACGAGTGATTATTTGGTCAAAATATCTTTTGAAATAATGTTATTCCGCATGAAGAATAAATACCAGAGAAGCACCTAAACATTTTGTATTTAACATTCTGATCCATTTCCAGATTTTCCATGGATAAACACAAGAGTGAAGAGAGAGTCTCTCTCTCCTTCCCTCACTCCCTCATTCTTCTTCTTCCTCTCTCTCTCCCTCTACTTATTTCTTTAACTTCCGAAAGTGAAAAACAAAGCTCTCAGAGTCTTAGTGCACCTTCTACTTCTGGATACTGGTGTGGCGCCATCGCCAATTTCCTTTTCCCACCTCTCTCTCCTTCAGTTTCTGTCATTGACCGGCCCTTCCCCCGTATTTTTTTTTATAGTTATGGAGGAAAAGGAAAGTACGGTCTCTGGGTCACTCGGCAACTCGGACACCGACTCGCCTCCGCCCGTCACCAGCCTCCACCCCCAGCCGCCACCTCACCACCACCACAGCCAGCCCGCCGTGCCCTCAAACGACGCCTTCGGCGGGGCGCTGGTTGAGAGAAGCACGGTTCCCCTCGCCGGCGATTATTTGGTGAAGAAGAAGAGGGGGAGGCCGCGGAAGTACGACGCGGACGGAAACCTCCGAGTCAAGCCGTTTCATCATCAGCATAACAACAACGGTAACAACAACAACTCGGTGCTGAGTTCTGCTACCTCCCCGCCGCAGCAGCAGCCGACGACGATGTTCTCTTTCTCGCCGTCGTCTCCGCCGTCTACGGATCAGCACCACTACCAGCAGCAAAGGTCTTACCCGCCGGCGAAGAGAGGCCGCGGTCGTCACGCTGCCTCCGGTAACTGGCAGCTTCTCGCTTCTTTAGGTGAGTTTTTTTTCCCCTTCTATCGGGAAACTCGAATTTATTATTTTTCTATTATTATTATTATTATTATTATTATTTTCCTTTAATGTATCGAAATCAAATTTTATTTACTGTTCGGTTGCCTAGAAAACCTTAGGAGAATGGGAGAAAATTAAGGGTGGTGGGAATGGCATTTAAGATTTCAAATGGTGCAGGTAGAAGAAATCAAGAATGCATGTGTTGTGTTGATAGTCTACACAAGGTTTACTATTAAACTCTTTTTAGTGGAAATTGTAATTTAAATTCGTCAAGAAGTTGGTTAGAGTTGGATGCTAACGTTGGATTTATAGACCAAATAAGATCAAATGACCCACTAGAGCATAATTTTAGAAGAAGGACTAATACACGATAAACATAATATTGCTAGAAGCCTAGAAAATAAGTGATTGCCCTGAATCATAACAATTTTTCTTGCCATTAAATTTTAGATATGGGAGTGATTCTTGGTATATTTTTACTCCCTAATCTATGTGTATTTATTCGGTTATTTTAATGCATATATTTGCAATTGCCTGTATTATTGCTACTCATACTCACTTATTGAAAGATATTCACTTATTGAATCCTATATAAAAAAATACTCACTTATTGAAGATATTTGTGATTATAATTATGTGTTCGAGGTGAATTATGATGTTAGTAAGGTAGTTAAGTAAACCCTAGCGGTATAGGCCACGTCTGTTGAAAGGGTTGTCAATCTTTTTAATCTCGGTGTGACTTAATATCTTTTTACCTCTTTTTTTTTTTTAGGGGAGCTGTTTGCAAATACGGCAGGAGGGGACTTCACTCCTCACGTGGTGACTGTAAATACCGGGGAGGTAAAACTGACATTTAACTTTTAGCTGTGTTCCTTTTACCCTGAAATCTCTCTTCTTTTAAGGGCCAATTACTACACAAAACGGTCATTAAAGTATTTTGGTCAAAGTTGACCGAATCAAGGTGTGTATCTACTTGTCCAATTTCAGAATAAGAAAGCTCATATAAACCTTGTGATTAGCACCACGTGTAGCTAGGGAGGAAGAGATTATAGCGATTTCAGGTAATTTACGAGTTAAAATTATATAGAATAATGAGTTTCTTTGGATTGATATATACGTGTAGGACTGACTGACCACACCAACTAATTAGGATTTTTTTTTGTGGCATTTTTATTATTAACTCTTAATTCTGTACATTATATGAAGTTGTTGATCTAGAAGAAGGAAGTGATTATTAGATTTGTAGTTGTTTAGTAAGTGATTTGCTATTAGTGCCAAGTTCTAGTGACCCAAATAGTAATTGGCCTCTGTTAAATCCCGAAAATATCTTCTTGGTTTTCTTTTTTCCTCTCTCTTTTTGGAATTGCGCGTAATAACTTCAATCAATGTAACCATTTTCACACTTTCTTTTTAAGGCCCATTCTTTAATGGGTTCTTCATT